ATTTGTAATGAAAATTACTATTCTCTGAAAAGTATAAATATAAACAAGGATTCTAACAATGAAATAAGGGAGTCCCATCAAGCCATAGAGAAGAAAATTAAATACTTTTGTACTCTGATAACTAAATTATTTTCTAATTCCAAGATTACAGACGTGAAAAGAAAGAACATGAAGAGGAAAGCCATTTAAAGCACTCATTTAAAGTTAATTTTTCATTTTCTACAGCTTGCCATCAACTAGGGAATGACTTACCTAACATGATTATAAAAAATGGTTTCACTCTTTGATCAGGAAGCTCTGAACACTAACTATGAAGTTAGTAATGGTTTCGGTATTATTGCAAGTCATAATGGAAATGATTTTCACTATGGTAGAAAGAAAAAGAAAAAAAAAAAGCTCAAGAATTGTTAATTAACTCCACTGTTTCTCCACAAATGCTAGGAGTATTAAAAACAAGACTGCTGAAGTGCAAACATCAGGATTTAATGAACAATGGGATGTAATTGAAGTAACGGAGAATGACTTAATCGGGACAGTGGGTTGTTTAATTATGGGGATAATGGATCTTCTGTGAGGACAAACTAAATGGAACAGAGGAGTTGGGGAGATTGGGGAGAGGTAGAGAGAGGTAGGGAGAGGTGAGGAGCACGCCACTGGGCAGCACCTAGATGAGAAACTCTTCCTAGGGATCGCCAGCACTGTGTTATATATGAAATATTTTATTACACATGGTTGTCCCCAAATAGCAACCACTGGGGAAAAAGCCAGGCTGGTGTGGGCTGGCACAAAACCTTCAATAAATCATAATGGACGCATCACAATTTCTGCAGGCATGTCCCTGTGCCTTTTCAAGAATTTCTAATAATCTTAAAGACTTTCTTATAGATATGAGAATGAGTGCAATAATATGTTTGTCGGAACACTGTTTCCCAGGGTGCCAAGATACTATCTCTCCAGTACAGCAGATTGGCAAGCTCATTTCCTGGGTTTAAGAGTTCAAAAAACCATTTCTCGCTTAACTTTGATTACAAGTCAAAGTCCTCTTGCTAATTCAGCACGTCTGCTACGGGTTATTGGTTTTTCTCATCTCCTCTTGAAAGGGAGGAAAACGTCCTTTCTCTCATGGGTCCACCTTCCCGGAAGCGAGCTTCTCAGGCCTTTCTCAGCTCCTCCAAACCTGTCTCCGCCCTGAGATCCTGCTCTGATGCAAGGAAAGAGGGCCTGCCACGCACCATCCACCTGGCCCAGCCTGCGACAAACAGCAGAGCAGCAGCTCCTCCTCCTCGCCTGGCTGTCAAATCGGAAACCCCGGGTACTGAAGGGTTCTAGGGTTCTAGGGTTCCAGGTGTAGACACGGCCTCCCCACGCTAGTGTGAGGCAGGAAGCTGATCTGGGGAGGCCTGGCCTTGCTGAACACCAGCCTGGGAGCTGGGTGGCTGGCTGCTTCTGGAACAGAGGATGAGCAGCCCCGCCGGGCTTTGCTCAGACTAAGACAGAGGGATTTTCCTCCCAAGATGCAAGGGACAAAGCCTGACTCCCCAGAGCCCGTTCGTTAGCATAATGATTTCATGCTGAAGAAATTGGCAGGATGTCTTTATGTTCTCGAGAACACCCCACACACCTCACGAGCACACATCCTAATCTTGGAGGTGTGAAACCTAACTTTTAGGTTGTTACATGAGCTGCCGAGTTCCTGAGCATGTAGCCCAACAGGACTCTGGGGGCTTCTTCTCTAACGTGTCCCTGCCATGGCACCAGGGTTTGTCATTTCAAGTTGCTCATGTGGCTGTTCTAAATTTTTTCTCTGATTTTCCTTTCCTTGAAAGAATTCACACACACACACACACACACACACACACACACACACGCACACACGCACGCACACACACAATCAAGGTTGTTCATCACACCTTGGTTTTCAATTACACAAACCACCCTACGCAAATTTAGCAAAGCAAGACTCTAAAACCACTGGGTGTACAGCCTGGGAGGGGGGAGGCACGCGGGACAGAGGGGAGGAGCGGGGAGAGGAAAGGAGAAAATTAGAAATACCATGGCTCAGGCTGGGGAACATGCCTGAAAGGAAATGAAAAATCTTAAATTTTTTATATTGACCTTCTGCTAACATTTTGTCACACAAGCTTAGACAGGATCCTGTGCCTTCTCTCCAGCTTCTTGTGCAGTCACCCACCGTGAAAGGGAGGCCGAGGTAGGTCCAATAAAAAGCATTCAAAATCACTCTCAAAGGCAAGGGCCCTAGAAACACGGCCCACCCCCTTTCCAGCCTTGACTCTATCCACCGGCAAATCCGAATTTGAACAGGGAGATGTGTAGGTTTAATTTTCCATTTCCCTTTTCCCCAGGGGGTTTAAAAGGGGAAGAAAAAAACTTTCAAGAGTCGACACGAATTTCTTCAACATCAAGTAACATTTTGATGATGAGCTGAGTGCTAACAAATCAGAAACACATGGTCTTAATTGACTGTGAAATAAATAATGTTTCTCAATGAAAGGGAGAAAAAAGCGCTCAGATGTGAAGCATTAAACAGCACTCAGACCTCAAAAGTTGCTTCAGGGCATCAGACTTCTCTCCCCAGTCCCATTTCCCTGCCCCGCCTTCCAGTCTAGGTTCAGTGTTGTCATGAAACTGAAACGTTGCTGGATTCCCCTGACCTACATTCATTCGCAAACATTCCTCTTTGGGGACTGTCTTAGTCTGTTTTCTGTTGTTGTAACAAAATACCAGCCTCACTTGAGGCTGTGTGATTTATGGAAGGAAAGCGCCTGATTTAGCTCTAGTTCCGGGGGCCCAAGAGCATGGCACTGGCATCTCCTGGCTTGGGCGAGGGCCACGTGCGGCGAAGGGAAAAGGTGTGGCACAGACCTTATGTCGAGACTGCAGGAGACAGGAAGCCCTCTGCTTATGAAACCTACTCCTTCGGGAAGTGCCTGTGAAAGGGCAGGGCTGGTGACCCGAATAACTCTTCAAGGTCCCACCCGCCGGCAGTACAAGTGCAATGGCAATTCAGTGTCACCACAAATTTAGTGGCCACAAGCTCTATCCACAACCACCTCAGGGAGGTTTGGAGCTTCTGAAAATGTCTCAGAGTAAAAGCCTGGACATCTTCCTGGTTAGGACCAAGGGCAAGGGCCTGGGTTTGTGGACAAACCAAGGAGCAGTGGAAGGAAACAACAGTCGTGGGTGCAAAATTCAGCTTTTGCTCTCCAAGATAGCCGGCGGGGATCCCTGAGCTGGATGCACATCAGAATTGTCTGAAAAGATTAAAAAATGCTTCCATGGCTGGGCTCCGTCCCCAGAGACCTGATTGCAACAGCCCCAAGGGAAGGCCCCCGGCACTGGTACATCTACTAGGGGGCGGGGTGCATTTTCAACTAATGTTCCATGAATAAAGTTGACATAGCACTCATGCACCAGGTGATGGTTTAAGTGCTTTGTGCAATCCCAGGTCTTTTCATCCTCGCCACATCCGGTGAGAAGGGCAGGTGCCACAAGCATCATCTTCATTTTACACCTGAGGGGACTGAGGCACAGAGAGGTTTAGAGGCTTGCCCAGTGTCACAGAGCTACCCAGTAGCAGAGATGGGATTCAAGCCCCCTGGTCCAGAGCTTGGGCTCTAAACCCATGTACCAATGGCCCTCAACCAGCATCACTGCACTGGGGAGCGCATTTCAGGCCACATCCCAGGCCACATCCCAGGCCCGCTGAAGCAGAATTCCATGCCACTGCTTGCTGCTTAGCAACTGGTGCCTAACAATGGGCAAATGGGACGCACACAGAAGTCTGAGGACCCCTGCACTGCCTCAGATGCAGATGGAGAGATCTCTCAGCTCCGCTTCCCGCCCCTCACACAGTGGCATCGTTAGTGGAGGATGAGCTACACCTCAAATCGAGAACTGGAAACAGCTCATCGGTGGAGCCTTCTCCCAGCAGACGACATAATCAGACCGCGGTCCACAGCAACGTGGTGCCTTCTCCAATTAGGTAGTGAATTCTTGCAAGATGACACCGCAGGACTCGCATCCAGAGGAAGCCACAGGACTCTCAGCTCCTCAGTGAGCAATACCCAAACCCCATGGTAATTTTTTCCTCCCTCTCCACTAACAAGATGGTAAAGGAGCTCAGAGTCTCCATAGAGCTAAAGATCAAATTAAAACACAGCAATCTCCTCCCCAAGTCTATATTCACAGAAAAGCTTAGAGAATTCATAAGTAATTCTGGAGATACAGTACTCGCCATGCAGGGCTCCCTCTGAAATACCTGAGTATTCCCTAAATTGGTCTCTCTTTATTCAGGGAAGGTAGCAGGTGGGTGGAGTGGGAGTGGGTTAAAAGGAAGTTCTCCGATTGTGAAACCCTCCAGAAGCCAGGCCGTCATCTTCCTGCGGTGATTTACAGCATTCCTCTAAAAATATCTATGAGATCACAGCACATTAAGTGCATGACACCAAACATTTGTAACTAATCCATGAAAATAAAGTAAGGGCGTCTTGTTGCATGGGGAACGCAGTGGAATTTGTCTTGCGTTATCGTTCTAAAATAAGACGGCCTCAATTTGGATGAAATATATCTTCACACATTGTCTTCCCAGAGCAGGGCCATTTGAGAAATTCTGATTGCAATTACAAGTGCTGAATAGGGAGTACTTTGCATTTCCTTTGACGATGCTGAAAGCTATAAGCAATCCTGATATTAAAATCTTTGGAAATTGATGAGTACCTCAGGCATCGTTACAATACTTTCTCCCCCAACCCAAGTAATTAAAACCTATTATGTGAGCACGTGTTAATATTTTATCAACTATTGCTTTTAATTAACTAAACGCACGAGGCCTCCGAGGTAGCCAGGGGGACGAAGCAGGAGGATGTGGCTTCATTTTAAGTGACCCCCTCCCCGCCCCCGCCCCACCGCAATCCCACCCAACCTCTACTCCCGCCAGATGTATCTGTGCGTCTGGCCGGGGCGCTTTACGACACACGTACCACAGTGCTGAACTCGGGAACCTGCCATAGCAGCCAGTCTTCATTTAGGGTGTACAGTGCTTTGCAGGTGATGACGTCTACGGGCCCCTTGTTTATTTTCTGGTTCAGCGTCGTCACCAGCAAGTAGAAGGGCTCTCCAACAGTCTCCTTGGAAAAGATGCCAAAGCGACAGTCAGCTTTCCCCAGAACCCACTGTACTTTCCAGAGAATTAAAGTTTCCGTTTATGGCAGCACGACAGGAGACAGGAGGCAGTGTTTTCTAACAGTCAACATGAAATTCCCCAGAAAGCACTGTATATATCGCTCCGCTTGGGATTGGGCGCGAAACCCACGAAGCGGCCTCCTCTTCCCCGGGCACAAGCACGTGCACGCATGCGCACACCCGTCCACAGCGCCCCGCCCCGTGCACTATTTCACGTTTACGGGGCTCTAGGGTGGAATAAAGCTTCGCCTGTGGGCTGGTACCTAAGGACAGTGCGTGTATGCGGAGAGTGAACCTTTGTTTAAGTGTTTAATCACTTTTTGCAACCCCCCAACAATGGCATTTTAAAAAATGCGCATCAGCCTTGGCAACAAGGATGAATGGAAGAACGTTTTATCCATCACCTAAAGAGGATCCTTTTTGATGTTAACAGCTTTTCATGAGGGAATCGACCGTGGGGTGGGCGAGGTCTGTCGCTCGCCTTACACAGACATCTACCTCCTGCACAGGTCCACCCTGCCCCTCGTGGTGCTGGCCCACAGAGCTAGTCTGGGGTACTATAGAAAGGTCCACATCCTCCAAGGCTCTGGCCCGACATCAGGCCCATCCTAACGGCTCCAGTTCCACATCTCTGCTGCGGGCACTTTTCCTGGACAGGTGCCACGTCCTCTGCTGTTACGAATCTGCCTCGGATTTGCAGCCGCTACCTGTTGCAAGGATTCTGAGCAGCTCCGGCGCAAGGGTGTGCGCGTTCTGCCTCCTCCCAGGCGTGTGGCCCCGGTCAACTAGAGTTCTTCGGAATCGTCAGCCTTCTGTGATCCACAGACGTCAGGCCAACACGGGGGTAGTGGGTGGGGTGGACAGGAAGTCACAGAGCCTCAGTAAGGATGAAAGGCAGCCACGGGGCTCAGGCTTGAAGCCCGGTTTACAAAGTCAAGCTTACAGTCAGCACTGCCTCCATCTCCCTCCCTGCTCCTGGGGAGTACGTCTCTCCTTCAGGTCAGGACAGAGGAGGATGTTCAGAATTTTCCCAGATGGGAAATCTGGTGAGACTAGTGCGTGACATTTGATTCTCATGGGAAACTTCCTTCACTTCATGGTTTACAGACTGTCCAAGCCCTGCTCCTCCCTGCACCCACTTCAGTGAGGTCCTGACCACAGACCTGTGGCCTCACTTCTCTTCCTCCAGTACAGATCAGAGGTAGGGCTGAGCACCCTGGGCACGGGCTGGATGGGCCACAGAGGTGGGACTGGGGGCCAGAGGGGCTTTCCTGGGCCGTGTAGGGAGGGATTCCTGAGTCAAGGGCCCCCTGGTCAGGAATTCTCCAGAACATAGCCAGACTAGATGGTGACACCTGGTCTTACACTGCGGTCCGGACTTCCTGGTTCTAACCCTGGCTAAACATCATCAGAATCCCTTGGATGCTCCTTAAGAATTCAGATCGCTGGGCCCCACTGGCCCTTCTATAGACCTATCTGTGTGGGATCGTGGAGAGGAGGCCTGGGCATCCATAGTTTTAAAGCCTGCCAGGGGGATTCCGACTGGCCGTCTTAGAACGCCCCAGAACTACGGGGTTTCTTTGTGAGCACCAGGTCTAGGTGAGTCACATCTGCAGGGGACGTGACTCCTGTCCCCAAGAGGCTGAGCTTGGGCATGTAACAGACCAGCCCTGACGCTGTCTTCTCCCATACCCTGGCGCTGTCCGCAGGGGCCATGGCACTTGGGCCGAGTCCCCTCCTTCTGTGTACCTCACCTTCCCAGACACAAAGTGGTCATAAAGCCTCTGACCTCACAGGACTGTCAGGAGGTTGAAAGAGAAACGGTGAGCAAAGCTCTTAGCATAACGTCTGCCACATCCAAAAAACGGCCTCAAGGAGCGGCAATTACTAAGTAATTTTTCCCAGCAATCCTTGGACCCTTGGAAGCGGAAGTTACCCATAGGTGCCAGTGCTGCCCACTCAGTGTCTGTGGGACAAGACAGAAGGACTGGGGTAGTCAGTGTCCTGTATTCCCTGGGGACACCTGGTTAGGGGCATCAGGGCCTCTGCACCAGGAGGAATTATTCCAGTGAAAGTGGAAGTATCACCGACTGGCTGGGTGCCACTTCCTCCTGGGCGCTGCGCCGCCGCCTCGCCACCGGAGTGCTCCACACGCTCTTGAATCAGCACTGAGAAAGCTTGACCCAGAATCCTTTGCTCAAGGGGACTGCTGGGCTTGGTGCCCGGATCTTCTGAATACCTCACCCTTTTCATGCCTGAGAGCCGCTCTTGAGAGCTCAGAGTGACAATCAGAAGATCCCAGGAGACAGAGCTGGACAGGAATCTAAAACCTCTGAGCAGCCCCTTCACGTGGTAGACGGAAAACTCATGTCCAGAGGGGAAAAGCCCTGCCAGAGACACAGCCGGGGGGAGGAGATCTTAGAGCCCACCCTTGCTGCTTCTAACAAGGCTCCTAGTCCAGTGCTCTGTCTGCTACCTCAGGGATTCTCAAACACTGGTCACACAGAAGTCTTTATAGGAGCGTGTGGAAAAAAACAGACAGTTCACCTGGAGTTTCTAATACAGCAGGGCTCTGGTGGGGCAGGCATGGCCCTTGAAGACCAAGACCAGGAACAGGGTGAGAGTCCCACTACCCTGGTTCAGCAGCAGTTTTGGGGGCTGAAGCGACCACCGTGGGAAGCACAATACAGTCACCCCAGAAATATTCACTTGATACCTCCCCAAGCATACGATGATTTATACCAAGTAAACAGAAAAGGAGGCGGATTTCATTAATCTTAATAAGCGGGCATTGCCTTGGGAGAGGATGGAGTCAGTAAAAAAAATTTCTAAAAAATTGTTGTGCATCTTCTTGTAAGATTGCATTAAACATTAAACCAAGCACAGTCTATTTAAAGTGCTGCTTTTGGATCTCAACTTAAGTAGCACTGTTAAAACCTGTGGCATAGCAGTGTATCTTATTCAGAGTTTAATTAGATTTTGAAACTAGCTGCAAATACACAATTATGCAGTTCTGCTGGAATCTGGATGCCTTGTGAAATTAAAGAAGGATAAGAACTTTCTGTACTGGGGGCCTTTGAGAGCCCAGCGAAGATTGAGTCTAAGAGAACAACCCTGGTTTTCATATTAATATTTTATAACCATAATGGCCAACATTTATGGCACACTTACTCAGAGCTAAGCAATCGCATCTCCTCATCTGGCCTTCAAAACTGTCTTAAAATGTTCTTTTTTTTAATTCTATGGGTTATATAACCAAGGAAGCTGGGAGGTCTAGATTCGGGCCAAGCAGTGGGCTCCAAAGCCCACCCTCTTGGCATCTGGAAAGTTTGCATTCACAAAGACTTTAAAATTCAATTCATTACCACCAGTGCACACAGTCACTCCAAAAAAGTCAACTCCAGGGGCGGGAGGCACTCTGGGGACTCGCTCTGGTGTGGAATGGCTGGTAAGATGTGACTGTCATTATCTGACAGCCTGTCGGGAGGAAAAGGGCATTTCTAAAACCTTTCTGAAGATACGAACACAATTTGTTCTCATCAGTTTTGGAAATATTCCCTTGTCTCAGTACATTTTCTTAAACGGGCCAACAAGGGTCTGGGTGTGAATTATTGCTAAGGATGAGGAGGTGGGTCCACTAGTAGCATCTTACCCCAGGAAACTGTAAATGGCTTACACTTGCATAGGTCCATCATGGCAAGAAGAGTTTTTATTTTTCTATTCGCCTCTGTTTGTTTCCTGGTAAGGACCAGGATTAAGAGTGGTTCCGTGCTGATACCATAGAATGTTCAGGACTCAGCCCGGCAGAGACATCAGCATCTGCTAAAAGTAAGCGCTAGTGTCTTACCTCTGACCCTGCCCAGGGCTGCGACACTCACCCGAAGGAAACCAGACAGGCAGACAGACATCCAGTTTGTGAGCAGTTTCTCGACCACAGACTCCGTGCGCCGCAGCATGAGCTTGGGCTGCATGTTGCTGGACTGCTCCATCAAATCCCTGGTCAGCACCTCCAGGATGCTGGTCAGGTAGACCAGCTTGGTCTGCAGGGCGATGGTCAGGAAGGAGGCAAACAGACACCTGTTTCCAAACAGAACCTCAGTGAGCCCCTGGCCGCAGTGCTGGCTGGACACCCGGGGTGGTTTCCACGGACACGCCCTGGAGAGGAGCAGGGTTTGCCTGGCCGTCATCCTGTTTTTTTAATGTTGAGGTTTCTGACCACTTCTACCCTCAACTCACAAAACTACCCGCCAGTGTTCAATGCTTTGTTTTCAGCACTTCAGTTGAAGTGGTAACAAGAAGTGAGTCTTTCCAAAAATTTCAGGGTGTTTTTAAAATTAAAAATAACACTTCTGCTTTTTTTGATTAAGAATTTCTTTTTTCTTCGTTTAGGGTTTTTTTTCCTTTTTCAGGGTTTTAGAGGGGGCAGTTATGTGCACGTGTGTCTTTAAAATAGCTGTGTTGGGTAAAATGGAGATGTTGTGGCTGTGTAAACGCCCAATCAAATGCTCTGGAAAGCTGGGTACAATGGGAAGACACCTGTAATCCCAGCATTCTGGGAGGCTGAGGCAGGAGGATCTCAGAGTCAGGCCTGGCTTGGACAACTTAGCCACTTAATGAGATACGGTATCAAATTTTTTTTTTAAAAAAGTTAAAACAGGGTTGTTGATGTAGCTCAGAGGCCCTGGGTTCAGTTCCCAGTACCATGAAAATAAATAAAGAATTAATTAAAAATTAAAAAATAAAAGAAGTGACCAATACCTATCCTTTACTGAGAAATTCTTCTGCTTTTCAAGGGTGTGAATGACAGTGACCAGGAAACTTTTATTGCAGATGAGGGCATCCAAAGCTGTGAGACTTTCATTCTTGTCATCAGCATCTCTGTTCTGAAAGAGCCACAACAGAAAAGAATACAATATAATAACAAGTTTAGAGCTAGAAAGTAGATCCACAGTGAGTTTTCCACGACAATAAATTATTTTAATATTGAATTCATGATCCAAAACCCCACAATAAAAACTCAAAGCAATAATAATGGAAATGATAACAAGAATGATAACACAATGCAAGTCAGACGGGCACAGGGCTGGAAATGGAAAGTTGGAGACTTACGTGCATGTCCTCGGTGAAGATGTGTGTGAAGCCACCTGACTGAGAGGAAGGAGACATTTTTATTATTCATAACATCCAAAGGAAATGAACAGAGTATTTTTGTTACAATACTCGAGTCTGTTTTAATAAAGGAGAGAGACTATGTGCTAATCTGAAGAGCCCCAGGGTGTATGCCTCCTGCACACCCTCAAAGATGTAACAAATAATTATTCAGCTCCCAAGAAGCACAACTGACCCTAAAGTATTCTAGGAAGAAGTTCCACTGCACAGCCCCACTTTGGTAGATGAAGGTATCCTACTTTGAGAGAGTAGACTCAAAAGTTCAAGAAGTGCTGGTAGGAGATTATGCAAATGTCAGACCACTTCTTAGCTCCTAAGGGTAAATACTAAATTATGTCAACAAGTTTGAACTACACTCAGCAAGGTAGCATCTGCTGTCCCCATTCAGTGTTACTGAGTAGAACTGAGTGGGTAAAAGGATAGAATCTGGAGCCAGACTACTTGGTGTCACAAGACTTTAGACAAGTTATTTAACCTCTCAGTGCCTGATTTCTCCCATCTGTAAAATGGGTATAATAATGGATCCCATCTCATAAGCTCAGTGTGAACATGAAAGGACCAAGCAAACCCATGAATGCTCTACATCAGCTAGTATTATTCTATCCCTAACTTATGGCAAAGTACATCACAGTGCTGTTATCCCACTGGTTTTGAAAAATATTTTATATATTATCCTCTGTAGCTCCTAAGCATAAATTCCTAAATATGAGCTTGTATAAAGTATTTCATTTACCCAGGTGTGGTGATATGAACCTATAATCCCAGCATTCAGGAGGCTGAGGCAGGAGGATTTCTATAAGTTCAAAGCCAGCCTGGGCTACATAGTAAGTTCAAGGCCACTTAGACTGCATAGTGAGACCTTGTCTCAAAAAAAGTATCATAAATCTTATCGGAATTAATGATTAAATTTTAAAAACATACTGAGTGACACTTTAAATGAATCAACTGAATAAACATTTAGGTCTCTCTCTTTCTCTCTCTCTGGTATTGAGACTTTGGATCAATCTTATATCTCAGTAAAGTCAATTTTTTCTGCAGGGAGTCTTTTTGCATAGTTTCAAATCTGTTAGCCCAAGCAGAAGACCTCAAACTATTTTGGTCATGCTTTTTTCTCTAGGAAAAAGCAAAGGAAAAAAAAAAAAACTAGACCCTGGGTTTGCTTTTTTTGGTCTCCAATAGTCTCCTGCTGAATCAGTGCCACCCACATGGGTAGATGCACCCGGGTGATTCTCAACCTTAAATAAGGTGCTCCACCCCAGCTCTGTAGGGCTCCCTCTTCCTCTCATCCGAATTTCCCTCTTCTAAGAGCTTAGTTCCTCTGCTTACCCTTATTTCTTCTCCTGTTTTCAACAAAATAAAGATCAGTGAATATAACAAAAAGCAAAGCTTTAAAAGCCAAAATAAACAGGCAGGGCACAGCACCAGGGAACTGGTGAACCCCGGCCCCTGCTGCGAACCTGCAGAACCTGCAGTTTTGCCTCTCGATCTCCGGTAGGTGTTGATCAGTCAAGTCCTCCCTCCAACACCCAACCTCCAGGCTGAGAGGATTTGGCTCCAGATCAGTCGGCGCAGCTCCTAATTAATATGAGGACCTATCTGCAGCCTGGAGGGCATTTCAGGTGGCAATGGCCCCTGCTCTCTCTCCTAATTATTATACATTCAATTTTAACTTAGATTTTCTTAATTGAGTTCTGACCAGTAGATACTTGGTTTTCCTGTATCACTCCTTTAATGACCCTCTTGGACTTCAATCTCTCTTCTCCCAAAAAATAATGCAGCATTGGCTCCTGGGATCGTGTTTTGTTTGGTTGTGGTCTCTCAGGCACCTGAACACTCATTGCTCTGTCTTGCTCTTGATTACTGAATTTAGAGGACAGGAACAGTTCTCTCTCAGGCCACAGATTACTCTATTCAGCACTCAAGGGCAGTCATTAACTGGAAATGCCCACACAATGCTCCTGATGATGGGCGAAATCTCCAAGATTTTATTGCTGTTAAATTCTTAATGGGGATTCAGAGAGCCGGGAGGTGAGAACTCGGGGTGTTGCCTTTGCTGAGGCCCTGTGCAGTCACCCCCGTAGGGGCACTGACCCCCAGCTTCTGCAGGTGAGCTGCTGCCATGGAAGTGGATGAAGCAGTAAACCACCAATCTGATGCCTGGGACCCTTGCAGGATAAGTTAAAAAAAAAAATACAAGTGCAAACAGTTGAGGTTTTATTTATAGCCTTCTTGATTTACAATACTAAAGCACCTCCAAAACACGGAGGGTGTTTTATAGAGCTATCCCAACCTCCAGATATCATGGTGTTCACTTCTAGAATTATGGAGAAGGTGGAAATTGCTTACCGCATGAGTCTGGGTTTTTGAACTCCAGGCATTCGGCCAAGTATAGCCGAGAAGCTTCTGGTAAGGTGATATAAACTCTCCTCTGGCCTGCAGAGATTTCTGGCTTTTTTAGAAGTCTAGATTTAAATATGATCATTGGTGTTGATGTGTGCTAGGGGTTGGGTCTCTTGGTAGACACCAGTTCCAGACCAAAAAAATAAAAATCCAACATGGTGGAGCTGAGGTACTGGGATGTGTAGATGATGATACGGAGGGCGAGTGAGGGCCCTGGCCAAAGGCTTGGGAGGGTAAGTGAAGAAGGCCGAGCGAGTGGCTGAGGAAACGGAGGTGTCAGAACAGAGGTGAGACCAGAACCCAAAGGCCTAGCTAGACTCCTCCTTCGACTTCTAACGTAATAATCGTTCATCTCGTGCAGCCATTTCTAATAGCCAAGGATGATCCAAAACTGATCAGCTAAAGAGAAACTGCTGAAGAGAGCCATAAAGACTCTACACTGCTAACAACGCCTGTTTCCAACTCAAAAGACATACATGTTGGCTTCCTTCCCTTTTGCCTGATAGTGCTTTTCGTTTCCAATTGAGAAATAATAGTGAATAATCTAGTAGCTGCAATGGAAGTCAGGCAGATAAACACAACAAATTGGCCAGCCCACAATTTATTGATTTTTAAATGAATTAGTTCACTTCCCAACTGCAAATTCAGTTTTAAACTGGTAGGAAAATAAAGCAAAAATCATCACTCTGAACTTCCACCCCTCTTCAGTTTTTGCTGCGGGACAATGAGTAATCGCCAGTGACCCATCACTGTTTTATACCCTAATCAATGCAATTAATAGTTATCTTTCTCCCTGCTCTGCTTAAATTTAAGCCAGTGTGTTGAACCAAGTGTATTATCTACAGCTGCCTTGGAAGAAAATACCTTCATTATTATTCAAGACTCAACCTTAGGAATATGATCAATGCTCTTTTACCTCAGGGAAGAAAGTTCTCAGAGCAAAATGTTTGTAGTCAAGGAAGGGAACAGTTCCAAAACTATCAACCACATCCAATTTATCCATCTGCAGCTCAGCAAAGCCTGCAAAACAGAATCCCAAGAGCAATATTTTAACTCCACAAACAATGGATAAGATCTTCTGCTGTTTTGTCTAACATGGAGTATGACCTTGGTTTTCATTAAAGAAGAAACAATAGATAATTACTTGGTTGGCTGCAGAAAAGAGCTGAAATAAAACACAAAGCCAGGCCCCGGCCCGGCTGTTCAGTTGTCTTCTATTTTACAAACATGTCTCATTACCATAGCCATCTCCATGTAAGCGTAAAAATTAAAATAAAAGTCAAACAGCCTTGTTTATCTACAACTACAATTCTGGAGCCTACCATCACGGATCTCCTTCCGGAGTTCGCTTTCCAAGAGTTCCAGCTGTTGACTCTGTTTGCGACTTAGCTCCTTCGATTTCTGCCTGGTCACCCCCACAGCCGCTAGGGAGACAGAGATGTTGCATCACATCAATGTGTTAATTTAAAAAATAAAAACAAGAAAAGGAAATAGAGGTAGAGAGATGGAAAGAGAGCTGAAGGGAGAATGAGACAGAAAATGGAACTTAAACTGGGTGTTGTGGTGGATGCCTGCAATCCCAGCTACTTGGGAGGCTGAGGCAAGAAAATTGAATGTGTGAGACCAGTCTGGGCTGCACAGCAAGACCCTGTTTCAAAATAAAAAAATAAAGATGGCTGAGGTTGTAGCTCAGTGGTAGGGTGCCCTTGGGTTCAAGCCTCAGTAGTACAAGGGGAAAAGGAAGGGAGGAAGGAAGGAAGGAAGGAAGGAAGGAAGGAAGGAAGGAAGGAAGGAAGGAAGGAAAAGAAGGAGGGAGGGGGGAGGGAGGGAAGCAAGGGAGGGAAAGAAGGAAATAGCACTTAAGAACTAGATTTTATCAAAGGAAATTTTCCCAGTGAGGGTCATTCTAAAGAAAAGGATGCTAAAATGCAACAGGGAAAAAAACCCTACTCATCTTAAAGTGAAAACTAAATCAAATAACCTTCACTTGTAACCAAAGATCCCAGCTGGTCGAAAAGTAATGAAACAAGCCAAGTCTCCCTACAGCCACAGGCCACTTATATTGTTCCATTCTTTTTCAATGTTTGTAAACATCTCTGGAGAAATAAAGTTGTGCATTGAGTGCAGAAAGAAACCACCGATCCACAGCTGGCGTCATAAGCCAGACTCGCGGAGCTCTAATGGGATGACATCATGCACGAGGAACGCCCCACGCCCCTGTCTGGACATTGCTTCTTTCTCTGCTTCATGTAGCCACTAACTGTGCTGCCGGGCAGCTGAACACAATGAAGTTGGTGCCTGGGTCCAAGGCCCTGCTCTGTGTGACCCTGGGTTTATTCCATAGCATCCCCGTGCCTGGCCGCTTATCTGTAAGACGGCCCACCTCACTGTGATGTTGACAGGATTGCAAGCAGTACCTTCCAGAAAGCATTTAGAACGTAATCTTTAAAAAGAATGGCTACTCAATAACTGTCAATTATCATTATCATTCTAGCAAGTTTCTCCTCTTTTAACAGAAATGATATGGTCAAAGGGCTCTCCTGCCAGCAGACGCGACAGGTGCTGGAGGAAATCACATTTCAGCTCTTTACTAGACCCAGCCATGGAGGCAGCAGGCCTAACCGCGATGCCCACTGCGCACCTCTGAGGAAGCGCTGAACAGCCATTCCCGACCTTGCTCGGTCATGGAACGCCTTTTCCCAGGAGTGTCGTTTGGGAGCATGGTTCCCCAGGCTGCACTTTGAACAGCAGTGGCTTGGATAGGCCATATCGTGCCCAAGGGAGCTTTTCCCGGTAGGAGTCTACAGGGAGGATCTGCAGGTAGCAGGCCTAGGCCAGGTGTGCTTAGTGTTTTCACCAATAGTATGACTGGCTGACTGACTTACTCGAGCTGCTGGTGACACTTATCTCCCTGAAGTGTGTAAGGAGAGGGTGAGAATTCTATAGGGCTTTGCAGATGCAAAAAAGCAATGTGTCACCTTTAGCCCACTGCACCTTAAAGACCAGAAACAATCTCTACAAAGGAAGTGGAGGGAGAGGACTGACGCATCACACATGTGTAGGTCAGAGGTTTCTAGTAAGTCACCTAGTGGACAGGACACTTCAGCCAAGATGGTGTATGTGAGCTGGGTGTGGTGGTGCACACTTGTAATCTTAGCACTTGGGAGGCTGAGGCAGGAGCATTACCACAAGTTCAAGGCAGGCCTGGGCTACATAGTGGGTTGCAGGTGCGCCTGAACTACGCAGTGAGACCCTATCTCAAAAAACAAAATGAGAGCCAAAACAAACAAAAACAAACTAACAACAAAACAAAGCTGAAGAACATGAGGCTGCTTGATAGCAGGGGATTCTCAAAACACAGCCAGCGTTTGGGCCGTAGAAGTAAGTAACCTTCTTCACAGATGCTAACATCAGCCAGGAGTTTATGAAAATATCAACCCAGTTTTAGACTCCAAACATTTGACAGGATTAGGCACTTGGGAAGAACATTTTTAAAAATGCTTGAAATAATAACAGGGCAAAATCAGACCTCTGAAAAGTGAATGCATTCCATTAGGCCAGTTAATCATACCCATGAACCTTTGTTTCACTGGATTGGGAATGACCCAGGGGAAAGGACCTTATCCCAGCTTCTCTTGACCTGGAGATTCCCAACGTTATCAGCAACATAACAGGTGCTCAGTAAAAACAAGGTAAATGGACGCAGAGATGAATGAATGGATGAATGAATGAGAGGGTGAAGAGATAGAAGAAAACATCAACAACTGCCTCTCCTAACCTAAAATATTAGAAAGGCAACACAGTGCTACCTCAACAAATACGAAGTGCTACATTAGCTGGTAAATAAGAGTTCTTTTTCAAAGAAGGAGAGTGTTATGGTTTATCTCTAGATGTCTCCCAAATCCTCATGCACTCATAAATGGGGCTTTGGGGAGGTGGACCTTTGAGGCATGATGCTCACCAGTGGATTAGTCCACTAATGAGTTTATCGCTAAGTGTGATGTTAAGAGGGGAGGCCTGATAGGAGGAGGTGGGTCACTGGAGGCATGGCCTGGCAGGGTCTATCTCCCTCCTTCTCCCTTGATCCCTTTCTGCTTCCCACTTGCAGCTCCATGCACTGTTTCTCCTCTGCCTTGGAGCCAGCCTACTGTGGACTGAAGCCTCTACACACTGAGCCAAGATTAACCTTTCCTCCTTAGAGTTATGGGTGTCAGGCACTTTGTCTCAGGGATGAGAAAATGACCAAGACAAAAAGGAAATGGGCTTAGAATGAAAGCGAGCCCAGAAGTAGAGGTCACAGACTAAGCGGCTGTAGGGATCAGGTACAAGACTGGGCAGAGGGGTCAGGTGACAAAACCAGGGAGTGGTGGAGACTGTGGTGAAAACCCAGGGAGACGTGTCTTCTTTCAAGGGTTTAGCTGCTACAAAGGGCTAGTAAACTATGGAAAGATTAGGTTCCAATGACTCAGAGCTTCCACATTTTTTAAAACGTGAATTGCATGATTTGTCAACTTATTCAGAGTTGAAAAAATGTTGTGTGGTCCAACAAAATACTGGTGTGCCAGGTCCAGCCAGGGGGCAACCACATGGGACCTCTGTACTCAGAGGGACCTTGGAACACTGTAGCAGATGACACGATTCACACTTCCAAAGACTCATTCTGCCAGGAAAAGCAAGGGGTTGGGGCGGGGGGTGGGAAGGTGCTGTTTGGTGGGCTGCAGAGGCAGCATGAGGTGACCAAGTTCTGGGAATCTATAGTCCCAGACGAACTCTGAGGGAATCATGCTGAAGGGTAATTTCTCATCACCATTCAAATGACTGCAGAAGCAAAGTAGATTCTAGTTCTCAAACGCCGTAACACCCATCTCTGTAACCCAGCCTTTCATCAACGGAACATCCTTCAAAAAAATCTTCAGAAAGCCCTCAGCGTGCTCCTATTATTCCCTTCCCAAAGTTGTGCTTTGGGTTTTCACCCATTAATACTTAATTGAAGCAAACAGCCCCTGAAAGCTGAAAGTCTGCCTGCCTGACGAGAGGCCCCAGGGAATGATTTCTCTGACAAAATTAAACAGGGCACTTACCAAAAATGACAATCACGAGCAAGACGGGAAGCACAATCAAGAAGTACCAGGTGGAAGGAACTGACTCCTGTTCCACGTAGAGCTCCAGGTTTCCCAGTTTCACCTGGTGGGACAAGGAGCGTCATTAAACCTGAGGGAGCTGCCTGAGCATCGTATTTATGTGCACAATCCCCTGCCCCAAGTCATTGTCCTCACGATGCAAAAGGAGTGATGAACTAGGTAGGACATCTGAGCTCAGACCCACGCTTGGGGTGCATGGACTCTATGTCCTTGAGCAAATCATTCACCGTGCCTCAGTTTCCTGATATGTCAGTGGAGGTGCTCTGGGCTACAAACCTGTGGATTTTAAACACTGGCCCTCTTTGGCCTGGGGGCTTTAAGTTACAGGCATAGGCCAAGGGAGAGGCAGAAGTCCCCTCCGTTCCTGTGTTTCACGGCGGGCTGGCTTTGAGTGGAGCATATGATGGTGGAAACCAGTTTGGTAATGCTGACCGGAAGATTCCTCTGCTTCTTTTCCAGTTCTGTCATTCTTGGAAGGCAATAAAAATTTCATAAAACTTGAAAAAAAAAGAAAAACCCTGCATCCAGCCTTCTTTTTCCACGGCCGTACACACAGCATGAAGGCGCCTTTGTGTCCTCAGAACCTCGCTGTCCTGTGCAGGCCTCATGCGGCGTGGCTGGGGCACACCTGACACTGCCAGTCCCAGTGTCGCCCGCAGCCCTCAGCAGCGGCCGAGTCCTGCTCACTAACCACCAGCCTCACTCTCCTTGTGGGGCAGGCTGTGGATGGCGCCATGGGGTGGGCAACCATGAGGACTTGGTATGCTGTCTTTTCAGTAAGTCGGCTCATGGGAACACCGCTCAAGCTCTCCAGGGGCTTCCCTGAGCTCCAAGGCGAAAGCCAAGCCGTGGCCCCCAAGATCCTAACATCTCTTGCTGAACCCCTGTGGAAACTCCTGCCTGAGCCTTCCGCCCAGCCTCACAGGCTCCCTTAGTGTGACACAAACACGCTACACAGGTGATGCCTTGGGACCTCTGCAGCCTGTACTTAGTTCCTCAGCCCAAGACTCCCTAGAGCAGCTGGTCCGTGGCTCCTTCCTGCCTCCCCAACTGTTACACAAACGTCCCCTCTACAGGCAGGACGTCCTTGCTCCCCATGGAAAAGCTGACCACCCTGGCTTGCTCATGTCCCTCCGCTCCCGTCTCTAATCCTCCTCACCCTGCCGCTGTTTTCTCTGTAACCGCTGCCCCCATCCAATCACATTTTAGTTTCTTTACTACATGTCCGCGTAGGCAAGCTTTGTAAAGCAGACAACTGCGCCTGTCTCTCCTCTGTGGTATCCCCAGCCCAGTGCGGGCATCGGGAACTACGTCCTGAACCATGAAGATGGCCCGCATTTGCTCTTCTCCGCTGCCACAGAAGGTGAGGACCTGTGCGTTAGCTGCTATGATTGATTTGATAAAAATCAATACCTTTTTACCATACAGATGAACAAAGGGAGGCCCGGAGAAGTCTAGTGACATACCTAGGGCCACACAGCTATGCATACACGGCTGGCAGCCGGGACACAAGCATTTCTTCGTTTTTGCCTTCCAATCTGATGTTCTTTCTTTTTTTGTTGTTCTTTATCCAATTATTTATGACTGTGGGTCATAAAGCTTTTTTTATTTATATACTCTGCAGAGCTCATATGCCATGAACACTAGCAAAGGGCGGCTTCTAATATGTTTCCCTTCTCAGAGGCCTCACACCTTTATTGTGGGACATAAATACTCCATGATGTGTCCCTTGGACATGTCTGGGGAAGATGAATTACAAGAAGGATGACTTCATGGTGAAAGAAGCAACATGGCCCATGGGTTATTTGGTCCCCATCAGATGCTAGTGCCACCCCGGGTATGCTGAGGAGGCCTGTTCAGGGTTTTTGCTAAAACATGTCACCTTCGCATTTGGGCAAAGAATGACAGCTTGCTGTCAATGGGTCTGGAGATTCCACTTGCAGATGCTACAATCTAAATGTATGGCTGGAACAAAAGCTATCAAGACTCATTAGTATCATACACAATGGTGTGTTCAATGCTTTGACATTCAAACAGGCAATGGAAGGATTCTGCCAGCTATTTTGGAGGAATTGTGCTTAGGCTTGCAGTACCAGCTTTGTTTATTTAAAGTGAAAAATCTAAAGATCCACGAAAGATTCCATCCTGGCCTCAGGGATAGCCTTGGAATTACCAGAAGTCAGGTGAAGAGACCGAGTCAGAGAACCACGTGACTTACTCGGACTTTCTTGGAAGAGGCGGCAATGCTGTTTGCATCCTTGATGCCCTGAATTTTGCAAAGGATGGTGGTAAGATCTTGGTTTCTAGTAATGTTTTCAAAACTGCAATTTAATGGCTTATTTTCCCCGTGGAAGAGAGTAATTTCAATGTCTCTCTTAGAAATGTTGAAGTTGTCATTTTCTTTCTGCCAAACAACAAAACGAAGAGGAAGAAATCAGAGCACGCGTGGGAACAGACCTTTGCTGCCCAGGGGTGAGAAGAGGGGGATCTCTATCCCCAGCCAGAAGGAAAAGAAACATACTTGAATTTTCACTTCCAGTTCTGTGTCACCCTCAGATTCTACTCGATACCCTGTAAACCTGGGGTCCTCGAGATACTGCAAGGTCCCACAATCCAAGTAGGTGTCTTGTACTCTCAGTTTCACCACCACGTTTGGACGCACTTTTGAACTCTTTAAATTGGGCGCTAAAAACCTGCAGAAGTCAGTCCTGCAGTATTCAGAGACCTGGGAGAGAAGAAAAGCAGGGTTTTAATGACTGAAGGATCCAGCCATGGTCTCTAAGAGCTAAGTGACCCAGGCAACCAAACTTCTTGGTGTTTCTGTTATCTCATCTGTAAAATGGGGGCAGCAATCCTACCTACCTCACAGGATTAAATTAACCCTAAATTAGGTCAAGTCAAATGTGACAAGGGCTCATTCAATGAAGGGAAGGCTGCCTTGAATGATATTATACACGCACAAATGCTTAGAGGAGTGGCACACTGCAAGACCTCAACACACGCCAGTTAGTATGATTAATATCATTAGTAATCAAGAAAGCTGTCAGAGGGTAAGCCATGGGAAACGAGGCTATGTAGAAAGAGGCAGGCCACAGAAAGGGGAAGACTTTGGCCCAAAGGGCTGAGGTGTCCTTCCAGCCAGCAGAGTAGAATGCTAGGAAATTTTGGGAAAGGAAGAGAATGCCTAGCCCTCAACTAGAGCCAGCTCTGACCTGGACGCGTGGCTGGCTGAGTCACCCCGGCTTGGGGAACCTCTTGTAGGGTGTTGGCAGAAGTCACTAACCACAAGGAGGAAAAGGCTTTTCAGGCAGTAACAGAAAACAAGAGAAAACTAAAGTCAAAGGGACAGAAAGGGCCCCATGAAACGGAGGGTGCAAAAACTGGAGACAGTGTAGACCATGTGGCCCGATTTATAGCTGTATTTTAAAAAACAGAAACATATTGTCATTTCCAGGTGTTTGGAGGACAGGGAGAGACAGTGGTGGGTGACGGCAGTGGAGAGATGTTTATAGAAGAAAAGCTGCAGCTCCTCAAAGAAATTCACCAGGCAAGAGGACTGTCCTCGTTCCTGTCTCTAATACCGGAATAGAGGAAAGAGGGCAGGAGGGGCCGGGGTGGGGGCTCCGAAGCCAGGGTCAGACCTCTGGACCAGGCTGGCCAACCTTCCACCTGAGCAGTAGTTTTCCATCCTGTGACCTGAATCTCGCTTTCACATTTCTGTGCTGGGCTGAAAACTACCAAACCCACCGCCCCCCACTCCCAGCAGCTATACCTCGGAGGAGTCTGGCTGTTGACTGCCTTCCAGAAAGATTACCTGTGACAGGACCAGGCATCCTCATCCTCAGGATGCGAGTGTCCATACAGGTGACCAACTCCCATAGTCTGAAAAGCTTTTTTCCCCCTACATTATGAGTAACTTCTCAGCCACTGTCCCCGGCCACCTGATTTTCTTCTATCACTGAGAGTGAAGCTGTGCTGCTAGACGCTCTTTTCTTATCCTTGGTGTTCTTCCTCCCCTGGTGTTGCCCCCTATTGCCCTTTAAGGACAGTACTGCAAAGGCAAAGTGACCATCTCGCTTCACCAGTGCCAGCCCGCGGGGCCAGCCAGGGGAGAGCGCAGTCAGGACCTTGGGGCACCTCTGCCATGTCCGGACGTCTGCCCGGCATCCTCTTTGGGCTCTCACCCTTTACCCAGTAACTGCCCCTCCAAACTCTCCTACTGCAGCACTGCTAAATATTACCCGTCCTCATGTCATTCCCTGCTCAAAGACCTCCACTAGCTCCCCATTGCCTATAGACTTAAGGAAAATGTTTGCAGGATGACACTCTTGGGTAGTTGCCCCAATATATAGGTTTTCTTTTCAGCCATCCCTCTTGCTCATTCTTTTTTTTTTTTTTTTTTTTTTTTTTGTTTTTTTTATTGTTTTTTTATTTTTTGGTACCAGGAATCAAACTCACAACCTTCCTTTTGCCAGGCAGGCGCTTGTGCCATTGAGCTATATCCCAGGCCCCATCTCTCCCATTCTTGACCCACCGTCTAGGTTCCGGCTGAGCAGGTCCAGGTGATATTCTACCAGGAGCAGGTGAAGAATCCATCCTCTGTGCCTGAAAGTGCCTTTCCTTCCACTTCCACTCATCCAAGTCCTGCCCATCCTACCCCCTCTGCAGCAGTCTTCATCCCGCCCATGTGTAATTTCCTTTTCACATGGAAACACACAGTATCCTTGGACTCAGTGGGAACCAGAGGACCTAGCATTTAATGTTACCCTGTGCTGTCAACTTGCAAGCCCTGTGTAGACCTGCCATCCCCCTCCACAAGGTGAGTGTGACCATCTCATTTGTCTTTCGTCCTTGTACCCAGCAAAATAATTTGTCTACAGTTGGTGCTCAATAAATTGTACTAGATTTGGAAACAGCGTTTAGGAAATGGAGCAAGACCCCTGACAAATTCAGGCCGGGCCTCTGGTCAGGTCATTCTGTGTGACTTACACAATGGGGTGTGTTTGCATCATGGAGACATGGCCCCAAATCAGATGCAACCTGGGCTTGGAACCATTTCTGAAGTGTGCCATGAGGTAGGTGTGTGTAGGACAAGGCTGTGAGATGATGAAGTGGGAGAGTTCCTGCATCTAGGCCTGAGCTCCTACTGATCCCAAGGGAAACAACTCCGTGGCTGCCCTTGGCTCTGCCAACCTTGGTAGGAAGTGATCAGGTGGGGCCCAACCCCGACGAGGGCTGCTCCCCTCCTATGCTACATCAAAGAAAGGGAAAAAGGGGAAGAGAGAAGGGGAAGAAGATTCAGGAAGTGCTTAGTAACACTCAGAGGCCCCAAGAAAACCTTTCATCTCGCTCGCACTCCTGGCACCAGCGGCTTCAGTGTCATGAAGCTCCAGCAGGGATAGACCGTTCCTACCCTTCCCACCGTGGGGTGAGGGAAGGCAAGAGAAAGGGAAATCAGACAGCAGGGAACAGAGGGAGCCCAGGAGACAATGGCCAGAGCAGGAGAAGCAATGGCAGGAGTTCTGGGATGTCGGCAATGTCGGCGAGCCACCTGTTGCTCAGGATCCCTCAGTGCAATGGGAACATCACCGCCCACTCTTCACAGAGACGCTGCTCCTCACTCACACCTCGACCATGCACAGAGCATTTTCACACGGATTCCTAAGCATTGTCTCATTAAAGTGACTCGCCACAAATCACACGAGCAGACAATGGCAACTCTTGTCATACCAAGTTCTTTTCTCTTTCCTCTGCATGGCAGCCCAAAATAGGCAACTACAAGTGCGAGGTCTTTGTTATTTCAGTAATAGCACAGAGAGTATCATACAATGAGTAAATTTGTAAAAAGGTAAATTTAAAATGCTTACAACACCGAAGCTGTAGAAAGAAGAAATTTCCCCAACACAATTTCGGGCAATGAAAACAAAATCATCATTGAAAAGAACTTTCATTGCAAAGCATCTGAAGACTTACGTTTATGTTTTCTTTTAACTCCTGGGAAATGATTAAGCTGTCAATTACATCAAAATTTCTGCCCTTGATTGTTATATTTTGACCACCACTGCAAGGCAAAAAGCAACAAGGGTAAATACATAGGCATTTTGCACTTGGAACAAAACTGTCAGCTGAGGGCTTGGGATGTAGCTCAGTGGCATAAGCACCTGCCTGGCAAGGGCAAGGTCCTGAGTTCGATCCCCAGCACTGCAAAACAAAACAAAACAAAACAAAACTGCCAGCTGATTCACATGTAATATTAAACAGTAATGTGTGAGAGAAAATTAATTTTAATTTCAAATATATGACAATCTAAGAAGTCTTTGACAGATACTGCCCACAAAAATTCAGGTTTTAATTCCCATTCTCAGGCAAAAATTCTCATTTTAATTCTAGGAAGGTGCCCAAATTCTCTAATAGAATTTGAGCTTTCTCGTACCATTTTGCTACATATAATCTGATCAGCTGTCCCTTGAGAAGGAATCAGTGAATGGAATTTTGCTTGTTTGCTGTTTAATCTATATGAAGACTCTTTAATCTTAGCAATTTTCAAAATCAAACTCCCAACCTACCAATTATATTTTATTTAGGGACACTGGGATCACTTTGGACAAGGTAAAATTACTAATGACATTAAAGGTATGAATTCCTCTTTGGGAAACCATATAGATAATAGCAAAAAGGGCGGTGGCTCCATTGATCTCACCAAAACCAAGCCAAATGGCTTCACATCTTCTCGGTGCGTCATCGGATACAGGCAAAGTAGTAGTCACCGGGCGTGAAATAAACAGCTGTCAACAGTTGCAGCTACCCGGGGGTCCCTGTCCTCAGAGGCCACCAGATAAAAGTCCAAGGGGACAGGAGTCTGGGTGTGTCAGGTCCAATAGATGGCTGAGTCCTTGGTGATCAGACCAGTGGAAGGTGAGAGAAGACCAATTTGTGTACAGCAGACCAGACCCCAGGCCCCAGCCCGCCAGCCGCAAGGGGCTGGGCCAGGACGGCCTCCTGCCAACCTACCATGGTTACATGAAGACCAAGCCATGCCAGGTTGCAGAACCCCATTCTTGCTCAAAGCACAAACATCCAGAAGCAACCAAGAGACACGGGCCGAGAATGTCACAGGTAACAGGGAAGTCAGTGACCGCTTACGTCACAGCAAGGCAATCGTATGGAGGCGCAGCCTGACCTTGGGGGCCAGACTGTTTGCTGCTGGAACCCTCTCCGTGCCTCAGTCTGCCATCAGCGAACTCAGGACAACACTAAGAAGGAACCAGCCCCGGCGATGACACCCTGACTGCAGACTTCCAGCTCCAGAAGTGGGAGGAAACAGGTTTCTATTGCTTAAGCACTTCAGCCTGGTGCTTTGTTACGGCAGCCACAGCACACTAATACAACCCGCTCTCACTTAATCTTAAATAAGAATCTCCAAATCGAAGTCTTCTCTCCCCCTCCAAAGCCTTGTGGGTAGTTTTATCTAGAGAGTACTTTCAAAATTAGCTTCAGGCTGTGTGAGATGAGTAAAATCTCTTTAGGGTTGTATTACAAAATTCAAATGTGCATTTAAATTTGATAAGGGAAGGATTTTTTCCCCCTCCTTAAGGGTTAACTGGAGAGTTTATTTTGGAATTTCCATCTCTCACCAAGGGAGAATCTTTGCCATATAGACATTGCCTTTCCTTTGATATCTCTGAATATTTTTCCCAAAGCATTCAAAACAGCTAAAGTTTTATGCATTGAAAGATGCAAGAAAGGACACTTTTATCGTGAGCAGCGGTGTCACACGGTGAAGGTCATAGATTTATAGCAGCAACCTAGGCTAAGAATAGTTACTGTGGTTGAACAAACATTTGAGCTGTGAGTTTCCTGGCAGCCATGGCTAAGAGAAACACAGGATGCGTCCACAGTGCTTATAACAACAGGAGCCACCAGCTTGTCAGGTATGCCTTTCTCTAGGAAAAAAATCCTGAGAGAGACCAGGAATCTGAACATGGCTACCATTTCTGAATTTATCGGCAGGAAATTCATGACCTTTATGCATCGGTCCCTGAACCACAGGTGGGAAACATACCATGCATCTAGACAGTACCTGATCCAGGTGGTAGCAGGAAATATATGGGAACAGTGTGGAAGAGCAATGTAGGATAACGCTCCCGCAGCCGAGCAGTTCCCACCATCAAACTGGATGCACACGTCCTTCATTTCTTTTCGGCTCGATGGAAGAGAAAATTTCATGTGGGTGTCATTTAGCACATGGCTAACCTGTATCCTAGAAAGGGGGAGAGGAAGAACTCTTACATGACACGGACAGCACAGTTGATTGCTCAAGGTGACAGCACACGCATTTCACTTGAACTAGGGCTGCACGATCAGAACAGCTGCAGCTGCGGGCAGCTACTGATTAATCAAGAGCTACTCACCCAGTTGGGGTAGAAGTGGGGCTGGGTTCCTCTTTCTTTTGTGCATTTTTATCATTTTATTTGCATCTCCCCTTCAAGTGGGGGAGGAAGGAGAAATAACCCTGGCCCTTCAGAAGGCCTAACATACAGTGAACACGGGACAGGAATCGTCGAATGGGTATTACACCATATTAAGCAATTATGGCTAATTTTTTGGAGTGTGGTAAGGACACCACTCCTGTTAGCAGTGTTAGCAGTGTACACGGAAGTCTTTGTGAGTGACAGCGTATGGCATCTGGGATATACTTTAAGAAAGTCCAGCAGCTATGCTCATGTGCTTCTCCTGCCCCACCCAAAGCAGGTGAGTGAGACAGGCAAAACAAGATTGGGAAAACGCTGATACAGTTAGAAACTCGGTAAAGAGGGTCATTCTGCTCATCTCTTTTGTGTACGTTTGAACATTTCCATAATAAAAGCTTTAAATAAAAAAGCTAACCACTGGGGAAAAGCTTTAAAGAAAAAAGCTAACCACCTAGCTAAACACTGGGAAAGTGGAACCCAGCCCAACAACAGACAGGTGTGGGAACCCTGTTGTTCCATTAGCGCAGAGCATGGGCGTCTCTGATACAGGCTAAGCTGCCCCAGCCAGGAACCTCCAGACTGGGGACTGGCTGGGATGGTGCTGGGTGCTCCTGACACCCAGAAGGTGCTATCCTCAATGCCTGTCTGGAGTCAAAAGAAAGACTTTCACAGCACTCCTTGTGTCCCTGAGTGTCTACAAGACCCCTTAAAGCACACACCACTGAGTTGTGCCTCAGTAGTATTAATTACCCTGGAGGAGAATTGATGATTATTTCTTAAAGGATGCATGCACGATGAGTAATGCTACTACACCTTACAAGAAGCTAAATGCCAAGAATGTTTGAGCGAGTTGACACGCACCCTACTTCAGATGCACATTTCAAGGTTTCTACAAGGTGCGTAGTTCTACAAAGTTCATTGTCAAATGGTTGCTCATTAAAACAGAAACTTGTTTGTAAGTTTTGGTAGGAGAGAGTAGGTCATCCCACTACTCCTCTCGCATTTTTCTCTTCAAAATAATTACATTTTAAAAATACCATAATAAAAGAGTTTGGGCCTGTGGCTTGGGCTCAGGTATAGGATTAACAGGGAATCATGTCGATCGCTCTCATGAACTTGGGTTTGCTACACAGATGTGGTTACTGAAATGCTACACACAGAAAGGTCTCTTAGTCATTTAATTTAATAACCGTGATATCTCAAGACACATTCAGAATGGAAATGAGAGCATAAAGAGTGAGAAACAGGTTAATGCTCTGAAAACGACTTATTTTCCACTGAAGTTGATTGCCTTTCAGCGAACACACAGGTGTCTAACTTCACAGATTTCGCTATACAGAATGAAAGATTTTTGCAGTAAGGTATTTAGCCAGGATAAATGGCACAAAAATACCTAGGTTGCATAGATACTGCCTCTAATGTGTGCCTGATGGTTCTGGGACAAAGCCGAACAGAGCGAAGCAACCAATGAGCAGCTTTTCTCATCCAGATCATAGATATTCCAGATTTACTGCTGTAAGGGGAAGGTGGCAGTGATGTGTAGCAAGTGAATTAGAACAGAAAATTCAGTAAATAAGCATGGCAGATTAGAATGCTGTACAAATCTGTTTTAGGAGTTAAAAGCCAAAACATCACGCTGTAGCAGATTGTCTTAAATGTATTTCTATGATGAAAATAAGCTCAGCATTATACTTCATGGAGACCGCACCATCTTTTCTTTCAAATTAGCACAAACTTATAAAAGTTAACAAGCAGAAAACTCAAATTATCTGTTGTGTTATTATTATTACATGCCTTTTTTTTTTTTTCCTGCAGTGGGGGAGAGGACAATATGCCCAAGAAGATCAGTGAGAAATTGAAATTTTTGCTCAATTTCCTTAACAGGATGAGTTCGGGAGAAGGAAATCATAGAAATCATAACATTCAGGTGGCACACTCACCAGATATTTACGTTTGGGGCATTTTGTTCTTTTACTGCTAATCTTTGTATTAGTAATTTAATTATCTGAGATTGAAACCAAACCAGTAGAGAGAAAGAAAGCTACAAAGAAGAAAATTTCCAAAATAGATTTTTCAACTTTGGGATGCATATGGGCAGAGTTCCTCCATAAAATTCTGCATCGAATTCCAAGGTACACAAATATTTTTCAAAGCACATCTTCTCAATCATGTTTGTTAGTCTCTATACATAATTTTGATAGTGAAAATGAATTCAGGCTCCAAATAGGGAATATCCTGAAATTACTGCTTACTCAGACTTTGGAGGAAGGGTAGGTAGATTCTCGTACAATGAACTTCAGATTTGTTGTTAAAATCATTTTACTTTTTGGAATTATATCAAATAGACTAACTGGCCTTCTCTAATGCATAGAATCACGTGACTACAGAGAGGGTTCCAATCACACTGCCATTCCTTTGGCATAGGTTTTGGTTTTTGATTACTGGGGATCAATTACTAGGATTTCAACTCACACATCCTTATCACAAGTGCTGGTTCCTTTCAGGATCATCGTGATGTTCGACGCCCGGGTGAAGTTTGCTCCCGTAACTATCACGTTACTTTTCCCTAAGGTCGATATTTTCTGTGGCTCAATGGCCTTCACGTAGAAGACCTATTGGAAATAAAAGATTAAAACCTGAGATCAAAGCTACGAAATGGCATCATTCCAAAAAAAAACGTGTGGATGTGCTGCAGTTCGAAGAAATCACTGGAAAATTACAACATTTTGCAAACACAAGCAGACAGTGTTTAATGAAATCAATGAATTCAAGGAAGAGTACTGAAGATTCATGTCTCTCAACATGCGACAGCATGAGGTCAAACCAATTAGTCTTTGTCTCACAAGACAGTTGAAAATGCAGTTGAAGAGCCCGATGTTCTGTCTAAGGAGTGAGGTATCACCGGAGTTGAGCACCGGCTCACTGTCTCATAGCCTTGGGAAGTTCCCACTGTAAGCAAAAGGCAGGCACAGAAAAAGACTGCACGACTGGAGGCAGCAAGACTCGGTATTACACCGAAGTAAATGTCATCCTAGATAAATTTTATGCCCTAGAGAGTAGTTTGTATTGTTTCATTTGTGTCACTTAGGGTCCTGGAGTGAAGGCGCATACCACAGAAAACAGACCTCACGAGATCACCAGTTCTATCACTTCACACCAAGGAGGTGGACATAAAACCATATGACCAACCACTTCTTCTCCATGATTTGCAAACATCACAATGACTTCCTTGCTGCACAGTCAAGAATACAAAAGTGATTACAATGCAATATGTGTATTACCAGTTCCCCAAGATGAATGTCATTCTTGTATCGCACACACTAAAAAAAAGTGCCCCTCCGGAGTTACATGATACCTACTTCCTATCATGTAGGCAAATGTCTCCTTAGTTCTCCATTTCTAATGGCTTCTCAAATTCCCCTAAAAAAACCAAAGCCCTTTATTCGATGGCAGGAATCATTTTCCCTTTTTTCAAGACAAAACAATTCTGCTATCTTTCACTTCTGTCCTATAGAAGCTCTCATCTTTCACTTAAATTATTTTGGTGTCCTTTAGTAGGCCATTTCCACAAATCTGATTATTCTACAGTATGGTGACCACAAGAGGATGGAAGATTCTAAGATCTCGGCCAATGTAAGTGCAGCAGATCTTAGCATGTGGGAATGACACACTCTTGGTATTTGAAATGACCCAAGGTCCAGAGAGGCGCAACCATGGGACATCTACGCCGGAAATGCTGAGAGCATCCTCTTGGAGGATGAAGCCCAGGAAGATCCTGAGCCACTGCAAGAGCTTCTGCTGGATGTCCAGGTGCCTAACACCTGCATCTTGGGGCAAATGAGTATTCTCTGCCCTGTGTGTCTAACGTGTGTCAGGTTGAACTTGCTAGGCTGCCCAAGCTACTGAATTGGGTGCCCTTTCCTGCACCTTCACACACAGATGCTGCACGGTGGGGCAGTCACCATCCCTCATTACCGCTATGGATTGGTTTTGCCGATTGAGGCAAATTCATCGTTACTGTCATCACAGCAATGATGTAACGTGACAGGGAATTGATTTCAGTGGCAGAATTTATTTTAATCACTTTGTAAAGGCCTTTAGCCCTGTATTTATTGAATCACTGAGGGCCCGAAAGGGTCACTTTAATTATTCTGTTATACTTGACTGCATTTTATGGGGGAAACGATCTGCTGGAGTGGTACTTGGGATGGGGGATTAGCAACGACTTCAGGATAAATCCCTTGCAAATGTCAAGTGTGTGTTGTATGGTGAAAGGCTTACTCTGTCCTCTTACATGGTGACAGCCAAGTGATCAAGTATTTACTGAGCACCTACAGGGTCCTTAGGACAGCACTAGGTGTGGCAGAGGACATGTGATGTCCCTCTAGATCGGGAGTTGGCAAACAGTAACCAGTAACCTACAGGCCAAACCTTATCTCCTTTATGTTTTTGTAGGGTCCATGAAAAAATGTCCAAAAGCGAAGATTAATTCATGATGAATGAAAACACATGAAATGCAAACTCCAGTGTCCATGAACACGTATTTGTGTTTGTGTATTGTCACTGCCTGCTTTCACAGTCACAATTCACATTCTTAGCAGCTTCAACAGGGACCATGCTGTCTGCATAGCCTACAGCATTTATTGTCTGGATTTTTTGTAGAAAACACTAAGCAAACCCTGCTCAAGGAGGCCGCTGTCTTCCTAAGGAGGCAAGATATACTTCTAGAAATGTAAACTTCAATGCAGATTACACTGATAGCCAAGTCAACTATGACTCAGGTTTCTGTTCTTGCTAGATGGGCCTCTCTGTTTCGCAAATTTATGCCACGGCTGTCAGCAGAAGCAAACTGCAAACAGGCCAAGTACGCACTACTGCTCTACTCGCTGCAGAGGATAAAGACAGCCTTATAACTAATGAACAAAAGATTTTTAAGGGAGTTATATTTTGCTCTTAAATGGCTCTCCAAACACCATCTGAGGACCTGCCACGTTGCCTTATTAACTTTTTATTTCCCCCTGAGTAGAGACAGCCTTGCTATTTCAAAAGGATTTCATTTTAAAGCCGTATTGTTTAGAGAAGTTCCCATTGGCCGTCTAGGATAGAATCCAGCCCTCACTATCTCGTAAAAGCAGATGCTTGCAGTCTGTTTTCAAAGAGGTCAGATTAGCTGTCCTTTGTTTGCTGCAAGGATTTCTCCTAATCCTAATAAGTGAGCTAAAGAGCTACCAAGAGGACCCCCTAAATAAATAGTGCAGGTAGGCAGAAAAATTGAAAAGATAGGCCAGTTAAAAGGCTGCAACAATTCTTAGAAATACAGTATTTTCTGTATTTGCTGATAGAGATTTTTTTAAAGCCAGTAAAGACAAAAGTCAGAGAAAGACCTTTCACCATGTTCCACATACTCTACTGCAGACCTGTTTTTCATATTTCAATCAAGAGTTAATTCACAATGTGACACAAGTAGCCAGCCCTACAAGCTTACCCATAGAAGGGGTTAATTTGAAAACATAATTGTGCTTGATACATAGAGAATTTCTTACAGCTTTACAGTGAGATACTCCCTACAGTGTCCAAGGATTTCCATATGTCAAATCAAATCACCCTTGAGTGTATCCATCATGGCCCTAGGTTGCCCAGCAAGCAACCTCAGAAGAGTTTACTTCCTGTTAGTTACATTTTAAAGACTTAAGAGTTATTTTTAAATGGGGTCACCATTGTAAATTATTTAATAAAGTATTCTGAGGTTTGGTCTCTTGTGAGTTTAAACCACTCCCTGTTTTATATAAGAAAGCACACTGGAAATTGGTTAAGTAGGTGATTTATAGTATGCCCAGTTATTTTTTTTCAAAACTAAGTCATTACAAGATATTGGCAATAGCACAACCACTTAGAAAGAGTTATCTTTGAAAAGCTCTAAGAGGATTACTCTTGACAGTTAAGAGTATCTTTTGTGAAGTCTGACGTCAACACAATTCAAATTACTATGACATTAATGGAGAAAATACTGATATGATTGAAAAGAATATCGGAAAGAGGTGCATTAGGAAGGCTCAGTTTATTAAGACCAAATTGTACTCTATTAATCCCGTTAGAAAAACTCTCAATATAGCCAAGCTCTCTGTAGGTCTGGACCTGAATCAACACCTGGTAAAACGTCGCTCAGATTTTCACTTGCGAAATTAGTTCAAACAGGACTGGATAAAAAGTCATGGATTCCAAACCAGCAGGAAATGTGAAACCAAAGACAGAAGAGAGATGAAAGCCAGCACAACTAATTAAAAGAAAGTATCCTGAAGGGCCCTACAGGGGTGAGTATTTGGTTCAGAATTATTTAACATCTTTATTAATGACACAGAAGAGGATGGAAGTAATATATTAATGAAATGTATAAATTGAGCGCAGTGGTAACCAGCAGTGGAAAAGTGTACGGAAGAGGTGAGATACGGAAGGAAAATAGTACAATACAGTTCTACCAAAGAAAAAGTAGATTTGAATAGAATAAAAAGGTGATCTATTTGTTATTCAGTGCCCCCCGTATGTCCCTTCATAGGTGCCTATACATCCCCAGGGAGCTGAAAATGTAACTTCAGGTGGTCCTGGGAATCGTCAATAGCTCACAGCACCCCTGGACACAGAGGGGAGATGCCCAAGGAGAAGGCACTAGGTCCGCCAGTGTGCAGAGAGGCCCAGTTTCACCTCTCCGGCCAGGGACTCTAAGGCGGAGCTGTCTCTCCCCACATCTGCGACAAGCTTTGGCAGCCTAAGGCCTGCAGAGGGCCAGTTTGTTTCCTCCCTTTTGGACGCACCTTGGTAGCACCAATATGATGTGGCTTAACACTTATTTTTACCCAGTTTAGATCAGATAATATAGGGCAGTGGTTAGAACTGAGCGTGTGAGTCAGACTGCCTGGGTTTAAATCTCTTTTCTAGTGTTTACTATCTACATATTTTTTCTAAGCCATAATTTCCATGTCAACAAAATGGGGGGGGTCCACCATGAGACTTCAATAAGGAGGCACTGTGAGCTGAGGACATAGCAAGGACCCAACATGCCTTAGCTACAACTATTTGAATTAGTACACTCTGGCATGCTTCTGGGGTCTTTTCTGTAGTATATATTCAACTCTTTGATGAAAAGGTATCTCACTTCCTCCAGAATATTCATCTTCTACAATATAAGTTCCACAAGCGCATACATTATGCCTGCTTGTCTAAGCATACAGTAGTTGCTCAATAAAGCACTGTTTTTGTTGGTGTTATTTTGGAGCCAAGATCTTGCTCTATAGTTCAGGCTGGCCTAGAACTTGTGGTAATATTCCTCCTGTGTCCACCCCTTGAGTGCTGGGGTTATAGGAGTGCACCATCACACTCTGCTCGACAAACACATTCTTAGTGGATGATTAAATGAACAACTGAAAGTGAACCCTACACTTTTAGCACAGGGCTAGACCCACAGAAGCGATTCGGAAAGGTACATGTTCAACTTAATTTCTCTTCTGAAAGAGCCTATTTGGATTGTCTGTGAGAAATTAAAATGAACATTCAAAAGTGATGGTGGAAGAGAAGGCAAGGTGTGAAGGAGGGGGAGAAAGAGCGAATTGTAAATTCCTGGAGAGCAGGAGTCACGCGTGGCTCTGTGTGGTTGATCTCTGCCCTACAGTGATGAGCGTGTCATGAGGAATAACAAACATCAGCGCGGTGTTGTAGACAGACTGTCACAACCTCCCCTCGAAAGCAGGGAAGGGAGGCAACTGCGCCTGCGTATCAGCCGGCGGAGGCAGAAGATATAAGACGTGGGGAAAGTGGTTGGGGCAGGTCCACAGGCCAGTGGTGGTCTAGGAGAGAGAGAGAGAGACAGACACAGAGAGACAGACAGAGAGAGAGGAGGAGAAGGAGGGGGGAGAGAGAGAGGGAGAGAGAAGGGGAGATGCAGCTTTACAGCTGAAAGTACTCCTCGTCTTAGATAAGACTTGGGTTTGAGTTTCATTCCCTGTTTTGGTCACTCTTTGCCCTAATGCAGCACCTCTGATAAATGTTTCCGGGTCAGCGCATGTGGTTAAGTTGAACTTGGAACTCTATTTCTAAGTGGCACAACCTTGGATGAGAAAATCCATGCATTTAAGCGACTGTCTTGAGTGGGGTTCCACTGCCACTGAAGAATAAAGTAAAACCTCTCTGAGGGGTGGCATGTACAGTGCTGTACGTGCGTGCAGGCTCCCAGACTCCTTTCACCCCTGTGTGCTATCAAGTCCTGCGCCTTCTCTTCTAGCCATGTTGATTGAGCGAGGTTTTCCTATGAAGTGTCCTGGGATTTTCTGATTTCCTACCACACTTCGGCTTCTGCCGGCTCCTCTGCTTAGAACACCTGTTCCACTGTCTCCATGCATCTGGATGCTTCTCCTCCCTCAAAGGTGAGCGCAAATGCCATCTCCATCAATCCATCCATCCATCGATCAAAGGCTTAAGCAAGCATATTGATTAAGTGTGTTGCGCTGCCAGGTACTGAGCTTAAATAAACAGGAAGGACTGACACAAGGCCACGTACGGACAGGCTCTCTGGTCTGTGTTCTTTCGGGTGCTAGCCCTGTATTAACATTGCTTTTCTGGCTTTGTTACCCACGCACTCATGGATAAGATTCTTAAGACTGATGGCCAGACAGGTGCTTGGTCATCTGTGTCCTCCACATGGGATCCCCAGGGCTCACTATAACAGCATCTGGTACTGTACATGCTCCATAAATGCCTGCACGAAGAACCGACCTGAGCTCAGGACCACGGAGCCCAGGAGGGTGCCCGTGCCCCTCCCAGTGCCCGGCACACAGGAAGTGCGATGTGGACAGCTCTCAGTGGCTTCTCTGCTGGGAAGAGTGACAAAAAGGTAGGGTGCTCTGCTCATGGCTGACCTGAGACCCAAAATGGAAACCACACTGTTACACATTCTACGTGATAATGAAAGACAGCAGTGTTTCAGAGAGCACGAGAAATCCCTCCTGAGACAAACGGCACTCCATTCCCTATCAGCCCAAACTGATGTTCTGCTCTGAGTCATGTACGGAAAGAAAACATTTCAGTATGAACAAAACGTCATTCTCCAAACTTAGAAGGGTGATCCGCAGAGAAGCACAGGAGACAGACTGGGCTTGGTGAGCCTCAGCCTCCTCCTTCTCATATGGTGACCCTACTTCTTTGAACCACACAGTGTTGAGTTCAAAAGGAACAGGAAGGCACAACACAGGAAGCCAGGATGCAATAGCTGTATCTTTTTTTCTTTAAAATAAAAGAAGTTTACAGAGCGATTGCCTGGACCATTACTTGGCAAAAAAAGAAACAAATCATTGATACATAAACGAACTTGGAGGAATTTTCATACAACTACATCATATAGCACCCCTTCAATATGTATAATTTCAATGGCTTTATGCACTGGTTAAAAATTAATTTTAAAAGTTAGTCTCCAAAAGGGTATAGCTGGATGATTCCTTTTACAGAAAATCCTTGAAATAACAAAATTATAGAAAAGGAGAACAGACTAGCGGTTGTTGGGCATTAGAGCTAGGGAGTGGGAGGGAGGAAGTAGGTGGGGTTACTAGAGGGCAACTCGGGGAAGCCGCGGTGCTGGCCCTGCTGTATCTTGACCACTGATACGGTCTGTATCCTGGCCGTGGTCTTGTGCTATTGTTTGCAAGATGTCACTTTCAGAGAAAACCAGGTAAAGGTTTTATGCATTATTTTTCTTAAAACTACATGCGAATCTACAATTACCTCAAAATTGAAAGTTTAATTTTCTCTAAAACAATCTGCAGAAAGAACAAAGTTGTGCAATGTCTGTAAACCCAGCACTCTGGAGGCTGAGACAGGAGGACTGATGTGAGTTTGAGGTCAGCCTGGGTGACACGGGGGCAAAGTGAATTCAAAGCCAGCCTGTATTACCTAGTAATACCCAGTCTCAAACAAACAAACAAACAAATAAATAAAATTATAATATGATCCAGCAACTTACATTGGGTTTAAAGCCAAAAGAATTGAAAGGAGCATCTTGAAGAGATAGTTGTACAACCATGGTCATATGAGCATTATTCATGGGAGCTAAAACAGGGAAGCAATCCACGCATCCACGGATGGATGAATGAATAAACAAAATGTAGCATATGCTTATATTGGAACACTGTTCAGCCTTAATAAGGGAAGGGAATTCTGACCCATGCTACAACACAGGCGAGCCTTGGGGACATTATGTTATGCACAATAAGGCAGTCACAAAAAGATGACCACTGATTCTACGTACTTGAGGTACACTTAGTAGTGAAATTCATAAAGACAGAAAATAGAATGGCAGTTACCAGAGGCTGGGGGCAAGAAGGATGAAGAGTTATTTAGTGAGTACAGTTTCAGTTTCGCAGGATGTGGAGTGTGCTGCAGGTTGGTTGCACAGCTCTGTGACTGTAATTAGCAGTGCTGAACTACCTGCTTAAAAACAGTAAATATAGTAAATGCTTTGTGCATTTTCCCCAAACTAAAAATAACAACAAAGTTTAATTAAAAGAAAAAAGCCACTGTCTCCTTGATCCACATCCCTGTCACTACTTCTTAGTTTCACAAACCAAGGGGAAGAGAAAAGTAGCCCATCATTTAATTAAACCTCAAAGACTTTCAAAGTCCAGAGATATTGGCACACCAAGCTTTTCTAATGCTTTAATTAACTGCATAATCCATTTGAATTCACATTCCCTCTGCCTGTTACTTAATTCACCTAAAGTTACTATCAACTTTTCAGTAATGATTAAAAATGTGCTACTTATTTATATTGGCACTTGACCTTAAATAGCTGAAAATGGCTAAGTCAAAGCCACAAATTAGTCATGAAATAGAAAACGGAGCCTCTTTTGGGTGCTTTTAATGCTGTTGTTTTTAATTCGCCTGATGCTGCCAGACTTCAAGGTTAATGAGAGCAGGAACTTGTCTTCTTTTTGCTTGTTTTTCACCACTTATAGATACACAAGAACTTTCGCTCACTGAGTGAAGCCAGCACCTAGTTGTGCTCTGAACGGAGCCACATATGTTCCTCCAGAAATGTTTAAACAGCCCCCTTTGCAAACATGACACACATGTTGAGTTTGGTGATTAGGAAGAAAATAAAGAGAAATTCCCAACCAAATTTTATGAAAAAGCACCACTTTTGAAAAGGAAAGAGAAATATACATTTCTTAACAACTCTGTCTTAGCATCAACTCCTGGGTTGATCTTATCTACAAAGGAAAACAACAAGACAAAACCCACAGCTTGATTCAGGTTAGTTTGTACGCTTTCCATAAACGCCTGGCCACACACATAACCCCAGAACGGCTATCATGGCATTTGGTTCAAATTGAAGTCCCCGAATGCGGAGGGCTCCACTTCCCCCGACGTTCCTCAAGTAAGTCCCAAAGTCACCTTTACAATTCTGGTCCTATGGAACAACATCATTTTTCATAATTACAGAGTTTTAATTTCTGTAAGTGAGTGTGAGCCTTTGATATATTGAGCCAATTAAGTGAAACTTGGTTAAAAACCAACGGGGAATAAAAGGGAATTTTGGCAGTAAGTAAAATAGAGAATTTTTAAAAGGAACCCAAAGTAGCAGCAGTTGTCACTGTCATCAAAAAGGCATTTTTTCATTATCAACACAAAGACAGGGTCGGACCTGTAGACCCAGGCTGGTTCTGTTACTTTTCGTGTCCTTGAATCTTCCTCCTCCGGAGGTCTTGGATGGCTTCTCCACAGCCACGTGACAGAATTCCTGCAACAGAGAACATCTCTTTAACTCCAAGTCGGTGGGAAATTCAAAGTGTGAAACAAACACAAAAGGTGGTGGTGCACGCCTGTAATCCCAGCCCTTGGGAGCCTGAGGCAGGGGGGTCACTGTGAGTTCAAGGCCAGCCTGGACTACACACAGAGTTCAGGGTGAGCCTGAACTACAAAGTGAGACCCTGTCTCAACAAAACAAAACAAAACAAAACAAAACAAAACAAAAAAAAGAAGGCGGAGTGGACACAAACATTTATTTTTGGTTAAACTTTGTAACAGCAAAAATGTCACTTTACCTGGTTTCTCTCATAATCAGAAGGATCACAAAATGTGAAGGGATGGATACACTTTCTGTCCCGTTTACACCAAGCACAGCCAGTTCCAATGCATATTGAGCACCTGGGAACACGGAAAATCAACTTAATTCCCACATCTTTAGGGAACTATTCCTATCCTAGAATTTCTCTCTGTCATGCAGAGTGCAAGTACTTAAAAGAACTTTATTTTTTTGAGACAGGGTCTCACTGTGTAGTTCAGGCAGGGCTTGAACTCACTACATAACCCAGGCTGGCCTTGAACTCCCAACGATCCTCCTGCCTCAGCCTCCCGAGTACTGGGATTACAGGTGTGCGCCACCATGCCAGGCTGCAAGAATTTTAAAAACAGTCCCTGGGTGCACTGGGAAGAACAGCGGAAAGAAGACAGCGCTTTGAGGCGGGGCATGGAGTATAACTTTGTGTCCTGTGCCACTGGGGTTGCCGGACCAGCATCTCACCTGCAGGCGTATTGCCATGGAAACGTGAAGCTGGGGTCCCCTGCTGGTCTGTAGATGACACAAACTCACTGAATCTGTTTCTGAATTCAGTTCTGCTATTTGACACGCTCAGGTAAGTGCTTGTGGGGACAGAGCACTCTCTCTCTGCTGCTACCTCTCTCTCTGCTGCTACCTCCCTACCAGATCAGCCAGTCCTGATCACTGGAGCAGCCAACTCTGCCAACTGCCTGGAAAACGGGAGACACAAAGTGCTATCTGGCAGACAGAGGAAATGAGGCACTTGTGTTTGCTTTAAAATCAAATTAAGGAAGAAATGTGTCCACCGATCAAATAATCTACCATGCATGGGAGACCGTGGAGGACTTGAAAAGCTTGCATTAGAATAGCTGCGTTAAAGAAGACATGATAGAAGAAAAACTAGGGTGGTCTGGAAATGTGGCCAGTCGAGGCCAGGGGAAGGCCCCGCACAGGACAGCAAGGCCGACCTGTGCCAGGTAACGGACCCAGACTGCACCTGATGTATTTTCCAAGGGCTGCTGAAGCATCCCGAGATCCTGACCTCAAAAAGCTGCGGATTCCATGGGGAGTGGAAACACAGACGCCCCTGGAGTGAGGAACAGATTTGTGATTTGTGCTTCTCCTGTCCCTCGGGCAGGATTACTATACGGAGAGCTTTGCTAACAGGAAGCAGCTCCCTTGGAGAGTGCGTACCCGCCGGGGGACTGAGGTCTGAGCCTTAGTTTCCCAGTGGTGTGACCCAGGGCAAGTGGCTCCCTTTCATCTGGCCTCTAAAACTGCCGACCAGGGGAGTTACATTTTTCAAAAACTCTCTTTGAGCTATGAAATTCTATTTAATTACCTCCCACCCCTCTTCCTATTTTCTGGACTTCTGAGGCTTTCTGTATCAAGATTTGTACTTTTCTTTCCTAATTCATTCTATTTCTTAGAAATCACTGACCCCAGCCTTGTGCTGTTCCCTTTCAGCGTGCCCCTGGGGGACAGAGGAGTTCCAAGGCCTCTCTCTACCTCAGTCTCACGTCTGAATTCCCTTTCTCAGTAGAAACCGGCTCCCAAGCCGGGCTGAAAGAAGCTCATGTTCGGTGCTTACAGGGTTGGTCATGGCAGCAGAGTGAATTGCTAATAACACGGCTTCCTGTTCCCATGGGGCAATCAGGGTGCCCTTCCAAGCGGAAGGTCAGGCCTCTGAGAAGTATTTCCTGTCTTCTCTGTGCTTTAGAAGCCAGGACTGGGGTGTGGCCCTAATCTAGAGGTACCCACTCGTAGGGGTAAGGAGGGTAAGGAGAGAACAGCGGATTTGGGTGTGGCTCACTGGCGGAGTGCTTACCTAGCAGGCGCACGGCCCTTGGGTTCCACCCCTAGCATCACAAAAATCAATTAATCCATTAATCAATCAACCAATCAAAGAGAGCACAATGAACAGATTCTTTTGGCAAAGAAGACTTCATCTTGTGCCCTGGAGTCTATTTTCTGACTTGTAGGGTCAGGCCTCCTTGTTCCCAATGCCACTCTGATCTGGGGGCATCTGTAGTGTCCCTTCTTCTGTCCTCACTTCATGTCTCTCTGGGCCCCGGGGAAGTACACTTCTGGCTGACAGCACTCAAGGCGCACTCTCTCTCTCTTTGGTGGCCCCGAGTCACTTGTGATTGGCCCAGGGTCTCTCTCTGCTCCCGCAGGCCACGCCCCAACAGACACTTAGGGAAAGCTGAATTCCACCAAAAGAATTCTTTAGGAAACTGAGGAGTCAGGCAAATAAATGAAAACCAATGGGAGAATATTTAAATTTCACAAAAAGCCTTACTCTCTTAATGATGAGCAGTTGGTAAAGTTGAATCTTTCTGACAAATGCGTAAAGCTGAAGGAGAACGTCACGTTGACAAGCAGGACATCTGGAAGAGAGAAAGGGGCGAAGTCACTGACTGCGGATTCCTGCCACAGTCAAGGGTAGCTGGAAATGCACAAAGAACATAAATGCATATTTTCACTGTTTCTACATAGAGGGCACGCGTGTGCCAGCTGTTCGCCGGCATTTCAGTCAGTATGTGGCTCCTTCCCCACGGGCCACTCGCGCCAGGCAGCCGCTGAGCAGTGCGCAGGCCTCCAAACAGACTGAGCCTGACTCCAGCTGCAAGGCTCCCGCGAACAATCACTAGGAAAAGCCATTTTACAGCCCATTTACATCTCATACTCTCCCTGGGATCACTATCTCAGCTTGTAATTGGCCAAGACATAAGAATAAAACAAGCCACCGAGCAAGAAGTGCCTAAGATATGAAAACCAGCACGCTAGAAAGGAAATCCTGCACCTTTGGAAAAATCCACACTTTGTAAATATTTCCCTAACAAACTCTAAAGTGTGGTTCCCTGGAGCAGAAATCCATGATTTTCTTGGAGGAAGCTGTTGTCAAATCCAGGATGAGGGCTTTCTTGTTTGTCTTTGAAAACCTACCCGTTGGTTAGGAAGCCCCAAAAGAATAAAGTAAGGATGCAAAGTGCTCAATCAGCATCAGAGAAATGTAATGTTTCCCATATCTCCTTAAACAATGATACTCCACCTGAGGCAGTGATTTCCAAATCTACATGTCTACCCAAATCATTTGAGAAATTTACGAAAATGTAGATTCCAGGGCTGTGCTGCGACATGTTCTGAGTGTGGTGTGGGCACAGACCTGGGGTCTGGGGTGGGTCTGGGGATTGGTGGGCCGCAACGCTGCCTGCAAGAACAATCATGAAGAGCCAGGTTCCTGCGCTGTGGCCCACAGTCCTATCTTTCAAATCCTGTGCCATCCAGGCTGGGAATATAGCTCAGAGGCACAAGTGCCTGCCTGGCAAATGCAAGGGCCTGAGTTCAATTCCCAGTAACAACAACAACAAAAAAAATCAAATCCTATGCTGTCCAGGGACCAGTATTAAGAAAGAAGTAGTAATATTTTTCTTTCTATAAATTAATGGGAATAGTAGGTGGTAATTTTTAAATCAAAGTCTTGACAAAATAACAAGTTGGCCTCATTCTGTCAGTGTTTATTTTGTCCCTCCCTCCTTTTGTTTCTTTCTTGCTTGCTTGCTCTTTCCCCCTCCTTTCCTTCCCATCCTTTTCTTTCTTTTCTTCCTTTCCTTCCCTTCCCTTCTCTCTCCTCTTTATTTCCTTCTTTCTTGTGGTACTAGGATTTGAACCCAGACCCTCTACACTGGACTGCATCCCCAGCCCTTTAAAAAAATTTTTTTTAGTGACTGAAAAAATTTTTCAGTCACTAAGTTGCCCAGGCTGGGCTCAAATTCACCATTCTCAGGCTCACACAGCGCTGGAATTGCAGGCATGCACTATCTCACCCTACTCTTTTAATTTTTTTACTGAAATTGTATTGGTGTGTGGATTTCAGAGTCTAAGAACCATATCAGGTACTTCTGTACAGCAATAAGATTCAGTCTGATGGCCGGAATTCCACATAGCGTTCTGCTCACACGAAGTGGGCTTCTGCGAAATGATAAGGAGCCCCGGCCCCACCAACCGCTTGGCGAGAGCATTTGAACAGAACTTGACAAATGCTAGTGGAGTGTGTATATGGACACCAAGCATGGCGAGACTCCCAGGGGAAACGCATTCCTACACAATCAGCAAGTGTCCAGTGATGCGTGGAAGAGGTGTCTTTCCCCACTGTTGCAAAGCAGAGGGAAAACAAGCTTTGGTGAAAGAAGTGAGGCCTCTCCAAGGAGGCCGTGGATAAAGCTCTGGCAGTGGCCTCGGACTAGCTGAGCACATGCGTCAGGAAGTGCATTCATTTCCCTGCCTAAGGATAGGCAAGGAACTCGGAGAAGGGCAGGTGAAAGGTGGACGCAACTGATGGAGGCCCTAAGAGCAACCCATCCGCTTCACAAGTCACTCTCAGATGATCCAGAAGCGTACTCTATGGGGGAGCGAGGTCTGCATTTTAACTTCCAAAGTTAACCAGAGGTGCCTCACAGAGGCTCTATAAGGAAGGAAAAGTGGAAAACTGATGCGATTTTCCAAGGAATTCACATGTACATGGCCACCGCGAGCCCAGGGACTGAGACCCACTTGCAAGCTAGGGTCTCTGAACTGCTGCATTAAATTCTCTTTTGGGGAGTAAAGTATCAACTGAGTCTGAAAGCTGGTGTCTCCTCAGAATTCGTATGTCGGGACCTAATCTCCAATGTGATAGCAGTATGAGGTGAGGCCTTCAGGAAGTGATTAAATCCTGAGGACTCCATCCTCGTGAATGGGTTAGTGTCCTCATAAAAGGAGCTGGAGGGACCGTCCTTGCTTTTCTGTTCCCTCCTGAAGCAGACAGTGAGCCCGCACCAGACACTGAATCTGCTGACGCCTGGATGTTGGGTTCCCGGCCTCCCAAATGGTAAGCAGTCAGTGTTAGCGTCTATAGATCACCCAGTCTCAGTACCTTGTTATGGCAGCCCCAGTGGACTAAGACACTGGGTGGCTCTAGTTCTCACCACACGACTGCCTCACCTCCACTGACCATGACCCATACTAGGAAGACTCTACCACGGACCTAACTCTACTTTCTCACCTGAGAAACTCACAAATCCCCCACTAGCCTCCTAACGATCTCTTGCACCCATCTGCTTCTTGACAATCCCATGCGGGTACTCCAGCTCTCACACTCTCCCACTTGGATCCCTGCAGTAGTTTCCTTGTTAGCTGATCTTCCGGAACACACTCTTCCTGCCTTCCCCTCTTCTGGGCCATTCTCCACCTATAGCCATTCATTCATTCATTCATTCATGCATGCATCAAAAACTGATTGACTGTAAAAGGCTATCTGGGGCCAGATGGTCTGCTAAGCACAGCATTGAAGATGTCTTTCCAAAGCCCTGCCTCTGTGGCGCTCACATTCCAAAGGAGATAATACACAGCTGCACATTTCCACAGGCTAGGTCTGACCGTGCCGCCACCAGCTTAGACCTTTCAGTGTCTCATCACAGCCTCAGGATGGAGTCCAAGGGTCACAGGCCTTGTGGGGTCCCTTGGCTGATGTCTTCCACCTGCCCCTCCCCTGTTGCCTTTCCTGTATAGAACCTCCTCGGGTTCTTCCAACAAAGCTTTTTTCTTTCCTTCTTGCCATCTCACAAGTTACTCTCTGCCTGGAAGACTCTTCCCTCTTGCCTTTGTCTGACTCAGATCCGCTCATCCTCCAGTCTTATTTAGACTGGTATCACTTCCTTGTTACCCCTCCCACGCTCATGTCCAGCCTGGTCCTTTTCCATGTGCTTTCCCAATGCTCTAGGTTCCCTTCATTTACACACGGCATTGTACCGAGTCACTTATTCCTCTCCGCCCTGAAAGGTCCTAAATACTCTTAGCAAGGGCCAGCTCCATCCTTGTTGTCTCTGTATCCCTAACACCTAGCTTAATGTCTTACACACAGTAAATGTTCGGTACATACTTCCTGTATGAGTGAATGGGCTTAGGCTGATAGGACACTGGTGGCAATGTGTTCTCATCTCACCTAGGATGCTTCCTGGTTTTCAGATCTCTGAGATGTCCAAGCCATTCGGGTGGAGTCAGCTCTGTGGTGCCTGGCCTTCCTGCACTCTCCTAGCCACGCATCCCCCTCTGTTACTCTCCAGGGTCTCATCCCAGCGCCAACAAATAAGGTGGAGGTGAGATGAAGACCCAGGCGGGACCCCGCGGGCGGGAAGTGAGGACAGCAGAGGAAAGGCAGATTCCCTGTTATTTAACTTGGTTTCCCAGGCAATCTGAATGCAGCAGATTCTCTTGCTTTCCTGGCTTTACAATGAAACGTGAGGAGTCCACACACCTCGGTAGCTTGGCCTGGTGAGGAGGATGCAGGCGCAGGCCTTGTTTTCCCGACTTTTCTCCTGGCAGAGCACCTTGCCAGTGTCCATGTTCTTCACCCAGCACTCCGAGGGCTTTGAAGAGAAGTGTCCCACCATAGTCACTGTGGTCTGTGAGGGGAAGGAGACACAGGGAACAAATGACTGTCTCTACACCATCGCTGTTCATCTCGCAGCCTTACGTGACTCACCTTTGACCTGCCGCAGGAAGCAGCTCTCAGAAGAGCTGAGGTGAATACACCGGTGTTCTACTGGCTGTTAGATTTGCTCCTTTGTGAATCCCGTATTCCTGCTCTTCAACTGTATTTCTGCTGTGTATTTTTCTTATCAGTTTTAAGAGCGCTCTGCATAGTGTAGATATTAATCCTTATCTGTCATATTTCTGACATATATTTTCTCCTAATCTACTGTTTGTCTTATAACTTTTGTTTGTAGAAGCTCTTGCCCTTTCACAGTGTGTTTTTATGTAATCAAATCCAGGTTTTCTTGTCTTGGCTATAAAGTGCTTTCAAAACTCCAGCTTTCAGACATGTATAAAACTGTTCCAATTGTTTTTTTAAGCTTATATCTTTAATCCATCTGGAATTTATTTCTATATATATTGTGAAATGAGAGTCCAATTTTATTTTTACCAGATGGTTAATCAGATATATCATAACCATTTACTTAAAAAAAAAAGAAAAAAAAATCCCAACCACTCATTTTCCCACTGAACTGATATAATCACTTTTGTCATATATGAAATTACCATATATTTGGAATCCATTTCTAAATTGCTCTATTCCAAAAATCTATTGATTTACTTCTGTTCCAATGTCATCAAATTTCTACTACTATGGCTTTAAATAGGGAAAATCTTTGCTTATTTATCTTTATTTTCATCATTTTCTTAGGATTTCCTAGACAATATTCAGCCATCTGAGCTTTAAAATCATTTTATCCAAGGGGATGTGGAGACTGTGAGTCTAATGGGAATTATACTATATATCTGCACTCACGGTAGGAAAATTTATGTTTTTCTGATATTACGTATTTTCATCCAAACACATGCTTTTATTTCTACATGTTTCTCTTTGATCCAGGATTCATTTAAGAGGGTATGTGTCTTAATCATTCAGGTGTTGAGATACATTTGCCATCTCTTTATTACTTACTGCGAACATTATTAGATAATAAAGAAGGTCGTGTGACTCTACTTTTAAAATTAAAGTTTGCTTTGTGACCAAACTCATGACTTGTCGTGGAGGCTTGTGCATGTGTACACGTACATGCTGCAGGCATGCGTGTGTGCATGTGCTGGTGTGAATGCGTACCTGGGACACAAAGAGGAAAATTCTTGAAAGTTTAAAGTCATCAAGCAACTTTTCTTAAATGAATGATTTAAAAGAACAAAGCAGTCAGTTCTCCCATTGAGAAGGAAAAGTAAAAGGGTTAATATGTCAGCCGTGGAGGCGTCTGGCAGCAGGTGCCGGAAAGGGCCGAGGATGAGGAAACTCAGGGTGCAGGAGGGAAGCAACCCTGTCACTGCGGCGAACAGCGTGGGACCTCTACCTTGATTTTCTGTGGGGCACCTGGCCTTCTAAAAAACTTCTGAGGTCTATTCTAGCCCTGGGGACTCACTCCATCTTTCCATTTTTAAAAATTTCTGTTTCTGAGGGAGAAGGCGAGTTCTTTCAGAACAACGTCAGCCAGGATGAAGTCCCTAGGAGACTTAAACCTGGGAACAAACCCCACACCACTCCCGCTAGCCCATCTTCAACAGGCAGCTGAGCACTGGTCCACATCGACATCTTCAACACAGCTTAGCTCCTGAGTCCGTACTATCGCATTTACCTCTACATCTTTCCTTCCGCAGACATTGTAATTAGTGTATCAGAAAGTTTTCTAAAATCTTACTTTCTCCAACCCTTAATTTTTTTCTCATTTCCTTCCAGTTCTCACACAGTTTTACATAACTGTAATCATTCCATTTCTGTATTCCATAAATAATAAACATGCTCTTAACACGGGCCAAGTGCTGCACAAGGAAGTGAATGATCAGTGAAATCAAGCAAGTACAGCTTTGGCCCTCAGAGAGATTACAGTCTAGAAGGATACACAGGCCACTAGATCAGAACCAGAGGCCCACGTGGCAGCAAGAGACCATCAAGAGATGTCAGGAACCTCAGCCAGGATGGGGCAGTACAGATGGAAAGACCTGGATGGATCCAATGAACCCACTGGAGAGAGCATGCGCAGGGCTGGAAGTGGGGATGTGGACGGGGAGCATTCTGGTGAGCAAGTGGATGCGAGCATGTACCAAAGGTGCCGTATTCTGAGACAGGACACAAGGAGAGAGATGCAGACCTGAAGTGGAAGATCAAGGTTTTTTTTTCTGAGTGCATTTAGTTCTAGATATTTGTGTGATCGAGAAAATATGTCAAGTTAGACATGGGCCTGGAGCTCAGGGCAACAATCTGGCTGGACGCAAAGGAGTTATGAACACACGGATGATGTGTAAGGCCAGGGGAGTGGATAGGTGTGTCTATGGACAAAGCATGGAGGCAGAGTCAGGCAGAGCAGGAAGCAGCAAGGGAGGTGCAGCACGCGGAGGAGGACAGGGTGCAGAGGTTGTGTCAGGGGAGGCAGTGGAAGAGCAGGTTTCAAGGGTGCTGCCAATCAACCAGGCGGGATGAGAACTTCTCAGTGTCAGCTGGAATAGCTACATGGAGTTCAGCTGGTGACCTTAGCAAGGACGGATTCAGAGGGACAGTAGGGCAGAGCCAGCTAGAATTGATCTGGAAATGGGAGACGGCATATTTTTTTCAGGTTTGGGGGAAGGAGAGAGGAGTTGTGGAGTTGGAGGTGTTGTTTGGTATGACTTTGGGTGGCAGGTGAGTATGGTTTAAAAGCTGAAGCTTTGGCTTAATAAACCCAACATCAAAATCCTTACCAAGGTAATGGTTCTCTCTCTCTCTGTGTGTGTGTGTGTGTGTGTGTGTGTGTTTTGCTGGAAGTTGAACGTGGGAGCTTAAGCATGGCAGGCAAGTGACCTACCACTGAGCTACCTCCCCAGCCTTTTATTTCTTTGCTTTTTTGTTTTTAATTTTGAGACTGGGTCTCACTGAGTTGCCCAGGTTGGCCTTGAACTTGTGGTCCTCCTGCCTCAGCTTCTTGAGCGATGGGGACTACAGCTGTGTGCCACCCCACCCAGCTTGAGGGCTTTTTCTTGAAATAAAGCAGATAAAGAGAGAATGAAGACATAGCAGGTCAGTGGGAATGGGAAACCATTCGCGTGTCTGTTATCAGAAAGTGACGATAGAGCCAGAGCACCTCTTGCTACCTAAAATTCTATCAAGCTGACCTGTAAGTGCCATGCTGTACTTAACCATTCTCCCTAATGCTGAACAATTTGGTTGTTTCCAGGTTTAACTGCAGTTGCAACAGCATCTGCATGCTTAGTGTTTTTGCTTCTTTTGAGCTCCTTCCTTAGGATTCTATGCTTGGAATTAGTGCTTCAAAGAGAATGAATATATTTATGAGTTTTGAAATGTACTGCCAAATTGCTTTCCAAAAAGGTTGTGCTAATTGGCATCACCAATACTGGGTGTTAACATAACTTATTATTGCTTTAATTTGTATTTATTTCATAACTAGCGAGGTTGAACGTATTTCCATATTTATACTTACTTTGCTGAATCTCCTCTTGTGAAAATATATGCTTCTGCCCATTTACTTTTTGGTATCTTGATTTTTTTCTTTTTTCTTTTCCCAGCTGTATTATCTGGTAATTAATGTTCTGTCTGGTGAGTGTTTTCCTAGAGTGTGTGCTTTAGTTAACTCTTATTTTTCCATGTACAGTTTTTAAAAATTGGGAATCAAGTCTATAAATATTTTTCTTTGGTTATCAGATACTATGCCACTTCAGAGCTAAGAAAATTACCATACTTTTAAGTTATCTGATGTTCAATTCTATTCTGTGAATTACCTTTTTATATATATTTTTTTACATATATTTTTTAATTGGCCTAAATTTGACTTCTTATTTAATGTAAAACATGAATTAAACTATATTTCCCTAATGTAAGCCATTAAATAATTCTTTTGTTTCCTTTTATTTTATAATATCTGATCTTAAATATTTTTCACACTTATTTCTGAGCTTATTCTATGAATCTAAATTACTATGTTCTTTTCTTTTGGAGATAGGGTCTCATCATGTAGGGCAGGCTGGCCCTGAACTCACTGTGTAGCCCAAGGTGGCATCAAACTCACAGTAATCCTTCTGCCTTAGCCTCCTGAGTGCTGAGATTACAGGCATGTGCCACCATGCCTCGCTATATCCTTATTTTCAAATCAGAGAATGGATGGACTATTACTAATGTACACATTAATAACATACACATACTATACTATCTATACATACAGTATATATATATGTACATTATATATGTTCACAATCTAATGAGAGTGGTTTTGCCTAAATAAACTTTTTTTTTTTTTTTTTCAAAATATATCTTGGGTACTCTCTGCTAGTTTATATTATTCCAGATGAATGTTACATTAATTTTAAGAAATTGCCCACTCAAATTTCACTGTGATTACCCAAAATCTAGAAAAATAAAGTGGGGAAAAGTGATATTCTTATGACATCATTCCACAAGAAATATGAAACATATCTGGATATATTCAAGATGTTTTTAAAATCTTCCAAGGAAATCTTCATATATTTTGTGTCTATTTTTATTTATGCTTATGCTTTTAATTGATAAGTTTCCACTATAATGAATTACAAAGAGCTTCTATTATTATGATCTACTATTTTGCTGATTTTCATCAGATATAATGGCTTCAGATAAGCTGTTGCCAAACTCAAAATCACTATTTCTGGGTCTCCAATATGTGTCTCCTACTAAGAATGAGTTTTAAATATAAGGTGTATGCAATATTTTTTAACTTTATGCCTGAATATTTATTTCTGTTGTTTTCATGAATGGGATTTTCTATGAATTGAAGTTAAAAGTTTGTTTTACCTAACACATAATATGGCTATTGATATTTGAGCATTCTTTGAACATTTAGCATTCATTTAAATTTATTCGTTTGAATAGTTTTGTTCTTATTTTTTAATTTTTGGGATGTTAGGGAGTGTGTTCCTTTTTTAAAATGTACTGAGCTATAATCCAACTCCTAGAATAGTTTTAAAGCTAATATGTTTATATTTACAGATATATGACCACTTAAGATTAGCAAATAATTTTTTCTACATTTCATTGCAGTAATTATCTGTATCCTTGTTTATTGTATTGGACAGAGCTTTATTACTTTTATTTTTATTTTTTGTTGTTTTTTTTTTCCAGTACCAGGAATTGAACTCATGACCTTGTGCTTGTCAGGCAGGCGCTGTGTCGCTGAGCTAAATCCCCAGCCCCAAGGACAGAACTTTAAGAGCAATGTTTAGCTGGGCATGGTGGCACACGCTGCAATCCCAGCACTCAGGAAGCTGAGGCAGGAGGATTGTTGCAAGTTCGAGACCAGCCTAGACTACAAAGTGATCTTAAGGCCAGCCTGAACTGCATAGTGAGACCTTGTCTCAAAAAGACGAAACAAAATAATGTTGATAACGTTGGTGATGGTGGAATATCTTGCTCTAGTTCTGATTTGCAAAAGAATATTCCTGGAGCTCCCCTTTTAGTTACCACGTTGTTTTAAGAGAAATACTTTTATTTGATTATCTTCCATATTTTTAGTAGTGTAAACCATTTTTATTTAATGTTAAAATCTTTATAGCTATGCACACATGCATAAGGCAAGCATGGGATCACGTCACATGCCCTTTTTGTTTGTTTGTTTGTCTATGTAGGTGAGCCTTTCCTTTGTCTTCTTTTTGTGCTTGTCCCTGTCTTCTGTCCCCGTCACTATCAGGAGGAGCAGGGGAGCTCATGCTTGTAGTTGCATCTAAATTCTCCCTTATAGTTCTCCATGCTCCATTAACCAAATATATACCTCTCCATATACATAGATACATGCATGCGTATATATTTTGTATATATTTTCTGCATCTTGCTATTTTTACTCAACTGAACCCGAGAGGCATCCTTTCTAGACTAACTGGAATTGCTCTCTTACTTTTTATTTATTTTGTTTTGTTTTGTCTTTTTGAGACAGGGTCTTGCTATGCAGTTTAGGCTGGCCTTGAGCTCACTTTGTAGCCTAGACTGGTCTCAAACTTGCAATGGTTTGGTCTCAAACACCAAATGACATAAATAGCACTTATGAGCTACTTCCTCCCTCAGCTTCCCGAGTGCTGGGATTATAGGTGTGCGCCACCATGCCCAGCCCTCTTTCTTTTTAATATAGATCCCACAGTGAGGATGGCGTATATGGTTTTCCAGTTGTTTAATGTATGGAAACAAAGCTTCTGGTGAACAGAGCTCTGCATTCTAGGGAGGTTTTTCTGTACCTACAAAGGTGCTAGAATGTTCATTGGTGTATAACAGGTAGTCCCCATCTCTGTAGGCCAGGGACCTGAGACTTTCAGGCAAGTCACAGATGTCCATGAAGGCAAGAAATATTTTGAAATATATGATAAGTGATGGAGTCGCATGTCTTATCAACACTATTAAAAGAATCAGTCTATGGTTCGGGGTATAGCTCAGCGGTAGAGGACTTGTCAGCGTGTGTGAGGCGCTGGGTTCAATCCCCAGCACTGCCAAAAAAAAAAAAAAAATCAGTTCAAAGTCTGTTTCAAAGAATGTGTTTAGCTGTTACTACATTTTCTCTCCGCTTTCAGAGGAGCGGTGAACTAGCGAGGGCGCGGCTGTGTGGGAAGACCCTATGAGAATTAGCAAAAGCCACTGTGGGACTTGGGGTGGGGAAGAAAGCACCAGTGGCTGTTTGGGTGGTAAGCACTTTCTAGACTAGCTACAAATGGTAATTAATTTATACTAGTGAGGCCATACATAGGTGACCAAATTACATAAATAGCACTCATGAGCTACTTCCTCCCACTACCGCTGAGCTAAAGCATTGCCCTTACATTTTTTTAATGACAACTGAAAAAAAAATTCCTGCATAATCTTAACCACCCTTCCGAGTCCTGAGTACATTCAAAGGTCATGGAATTTTTCTATCATTCTTCATTAATAGCTCGGTATTAATGAGAGAAATAAAAATTTGGCCATACCTATGCATGGATTCCTGGGCATCGTTGACATCAAATCTGTCCCCTCCGACTCAGTGCTGGCAGAGGTTGTCGTGAAGACTTTGGAAAAATCTGTCCACCCCCCAACAGCAGCATGACAACAGAAAGTGACAACAGCCAAGCAACTTTAAACCCATGGGTTCTGATCAGTTATGACTTGAAAGCTTGATTCTTTTATTATTTATCACTCTTTAAATGTTCTGGCTCTCCATTATTAAATGTTAAATCATCTTAAATGGTACGCTTCGTGCTATCTGAAATGGCAAAGTGTAAGGGAAAAGGGAAAGTGGCCCATTTCCTTGTTAATGTGGCATTCAAATAAAACACAGAGAGCTCAACAGGCAGGTCAACTGGCTGCTGACGGGGACGCGGTACAATTATTCATAACACAAGAGCCATAATTAGAGAGGGAAAGTCTTCCTACAGCATTGAGATTGCCGGAGAGGAATTCCATTTTCCCACAAGGCAGAGACGGTATGACATCAGAATACACCCAAATACGCTCATTGCTTCCTTTCTCTTTTCCAAAGCCCAGACCCCCTGGCTGGCCAAGGGACCCCACTGACAACAGTCCCTGCCCCCCACTGGTTATCTCTCCGTCTTTACCAACATCGCTTGCAGCCAGGCCCCCAGAGTTGTTCAGAGAAGCCCAAACACATTGGGGAAACGGAAGCATGAATCCAGCTACATTTAAGGAATCTCGTTGACCAGAAACCTGTACTTATTTTTCTCTATTTTTAAAATCAAGATGTATTTTTGCTACATTTGTTTAAATTCAGATACTGAGGATTATCTTTGGCTCCTCAAGATGACTACCTTCAGGAGGGCAGGTCTGTGGCGTGACTTGGTCCAGCACTTTACAGAGCGGATAGAATCTGCCAAGTATTCACCATTCACTAACAAATGGACTCCTCTACCTAAGCTTATTTCATTGCTGTAGATATTTTACACACAGGAGGAGGTTACCATCAGTTGTGCAATACCATGGAGACAAACATATTAGCATCTTTCCTCTTACCTTATCTCTGCTGCTACGAGTTATCTGAATTTTAGGGCACTCCTTAGCACCAGATGAAATATCCAGCCAGTTTTCAAAGTGCTTTGACTCTACACAATCTTCTTTAAAAGTACACCTGAAAAAAGGGCAAAACAAAACAGCAGCCCCACACACGCATTAGTTACAACTTTCTCAAACCTGGCTTCAGTACAAAATGCTTTATACAGTGGATTATTGATTTTGAATGAGAATAGGAACATGATGCTAAAATCATGAAAAGCAGCAAGAAAACAGATCCCCCCCCCCATCACGTCTCGGAGCAGGGACCAAATGTTGAGAACGTGTTGACCTTGGACTCTTAAACCATCTCTCAAGGTGATGCCCCCAAATACATCCTAAGCCAGTCTTCTTATGGATTCTAAAGTCAAGAGTGTCCTTGTAGAAATACCTATCAAAGAACAGCCCAGGAAAGCACTTACACATTGTATAAATTTTAGGTTTGCAATTTATTCCCAGAATATCAACCTATTGTGCCATTTGTTTTGTGTTCAAAAAATAATAATAGAGCTACTATTTTGTGCTTTGCAGTATCATGATTACATGAGAACATTTCAAGAGCACAGTCTGCCCAAGAATTTGATAAGATACTCCATAACCATCTGCTACAGAACATTTATTTAGACAGACACAAAATTTTATCAAAAGATAAGGGGGAAACATTTCCAGGGCCACTGTCCCAGGTCAGCCAGCTGGGAGGATGCCCCGAAGAAGTCTTGTTGTGTCCAGGATGAATCACTTTGATAAACATGTGCCCGGAAGCTGAGAGGTGAGGCTACTGGCTTGCTTGTTGTGTCGGTCACTCCAGGTCACAGTAACAGGGGAACCCTTGTCTCATCAGACGGGCCACCAACCCAGCGAGAAAAATGAACACTAGCACCACATTATCTTCCAAGGGTCCAACACTCTGTGGACATTCTGCGGAAGAGCATTAAGGGCAGAAGAAAACATCTCTGGTACCTTTACTTCTCCAAGATGGAAGGTTAAAATGAAGGGGTGGAGAGCCAGTGCCAGAGAGTCTGTTTTTTTATTAGTGTATGTTTGCAGTAAACACATGAATCATGAGATTGAAAAGCAACTGAACGGTGACCGCATTCAGCTGTGGGAAGTCCCTGGGGGGACCCTAGTGGAATGAGGTGCAGATGGGTCCAAATAGTGTATCTGACTTCAAAAAGATTTTATTTCTTCTTCTTCCTCTTCTCTCTTTTTCTTTTTAATTCTTAAGAATTGAGGCCTTGCGGCTTGGTCTTTGAGCTCTGCACTAATTTAGCACGGCAAATATAGAACAGGAAGTCAGTGAGTTTCACTAAGTCTCATCCCCAACATGATGAGCTTAGCATGTCACCCACTGGGGGAACCCCACTCCCAGGGAGCACATTCGTGTCCCCCTCCTCCACCTCTCCCACAACGTAACCAAAGGGATTTTCATCAGCGGTTCTCCAAAGCCATAACTTTATCTGACCCTTGATGGCTCACTCGTCCGTCACGGACATTAAGTTCAAATTAAACCGCCTCTCAATGTCAGGGAGAGTTTGCAACACAGGGACAAGAACTGCTGCATTCAAACCTCGAGAAAATGACTAGGCTGGTTCCTTATTTGTATCTGAAACAGATCATGACTGTCAAAAACTCCCTTCCTCTCCCAGGCGCTCTGGGTTTGTATAAGGCACTTCCTCTGCCTATAAGAAAAAAAAAATTTAGCCAATTCTAGAGAGACGGGAGTACAAATGTTTTTGTAGGCTCTTAATGCTGCCTGGGAGTCAAGGCCTCAGGCTGCCAAAAAAAGAAGTGCAAGATATTTCATACAAACAGAGTTACGATTTGCCAATTTGTGGGCAGAAAGCACTAGTGCCACTGAGTTATCACTCCTTTTTCTCAATTCCTATAGCGTTTCTTGTCAGAACCACACATTTTGCTATTTAATCATATGCTGCCTTGAATTACAACTTAACTGTTTCATATGTCTATGTCATTTCTCCCCAAGAAAGCGCTAAGCTCCTCAAAGGAAGGGAGAAGATCTTTAATATTTCTTTAGTAAATCCCTATGTCTCTCAGCATGATATGCTAATCTTGGGTTTCAATAAATATTTTTGAATGAATGCAGGAAATATGAACTCCTTATAGGTCCTTTCCACTGGTGGTTTTTCTTTCCAGAGTTTTGATTTATGTCTGACTCTTCCTTATGGGGAAGAGACTATTTTTAACATAAGCTAAAAGTTTGAATCTGAGGATCAAATTAGGAGTTGAGGTTGGTTTATTTTTGAAAAAAAAATTAAAACACGAACCTTTCATTTCTTATTCTATGTAGGATAAAAACAAAAATCCAATCATGATAACCACCTAAACATAAATTCCTTGTTTGGACTGTTTTTTTTTTTTTTTTTTTTTTTTTTTTTTTTTTTAAGGCTGCCTTTGAAATTTCTAAATTCCCAGTCCTTGCTTCTCAGGAGTAGAAAATAAATTAAAAAATAAAAAGCAAACTGTGACACCAAGAATATATAACCAGATGGTCAACCAACAACAGTATCTTATTACTTCTCAAATATTGCAGATTGTAAAATCTTCATGACAGCAAGTTACTCACACATTCAAATTCTTTAAGAAAGGGGTAGCAGATCTTGTAGCGCCCACGTTTTAGTAAACAAAACCAGATACTTTGAAATAATTCCCTTTGAATGCTATTCCTCTGATTCTTCTGTATGTGATTTGGTGCATAAACACTTCAGCCACTGCCCAAATGGCATGGAAATCTCCTTGTCCGACACACCTCTTGGTGAGGCTGAGTCCTGAGGGAGACGCTCTCAGCTGGGCCACTGCTTAACTGGCTTCATGTCAATGTCCTGGGGTCACAGGCAGGAGGGAAATTGGATGCAGAGTAGTAAGGATGTACTCTGGAGAAAATGGCAGAGAGATATTTGTTTTCTTTGCTTTTGCTGTTACTTTTGCCTCCTCATCCTCCGAGAATCCATCTTCGTCTGTTTTGTGCTATAATTGCAGAATCCCTGAGACTGTGTAATTTAGAAAGAACGGAGATGCATTTCTTACAGTTCTGGAGGCTGGAAAGTCCACAGTGGAGGGGTCTGCACCTGGCAAGGGTCTTCTTACCAGATCAGCTCAGGGTGGAAGGCAGATAGCAAGAGAAGGCAGAAGGTGGAGGAATCCAGTGCCCAGCCTAGAGCCACCATGAATTCATTCACAAGGGTGGAGCCCCAACAGCTAAGCTCCTCCCTGCCTCCAACACAGTGGCTCTGGGGAGTAAGTTTCCAACACATGTTTTGTGGGGGACACATTCTATTTTTCTTTTTTAAAAAAATTTTAAATTTTTTTCTGGTACTGGGAATTGAACTCACGACCTTGCACTTGCCAGGCAGGCGCTGTGCCGCTGAGCTAGATCCCCAGCCCCCAGGGGGACACGTTTTAACCACAGCAAGATCCATCTAAGTCTGAAGATCTCCCTCAATATTTTATTTTTCTAGTTCCAGTTAAGGCGTCATGCCCACATGAAAAAGACAATAAGTAGACACAAGCTTATTTACCAATTTAAAAATGGAATCTGCCCAAATGCAGAGAAGAGATTGCTTGAAGAAAAACAAAAATGAAACCAAAAACCCAAACCAAAAAGTTAAAGGAAAAAAATCAAACAGTTTTCCTTAGGCGAAAAACACCATTATGGGGAAACAAGTATATGAAACTATTCAAGGCGTTCTATTCTTATTAATGGGCTATAAACCTTGCTACAGAGCTTAATTTATTCCAAATAATTCAATAAAAATAGTTTAACATTTCACTTGACTATATGAGGACCTGGGCCACCCACTCCTCAATTCCCAATTTGGGAAAAAAAAGTATGCTCCAAATCTATCCAGGCCCCAACTGGTAAATAGGAAGGTTCCGGATGATTGTTTTGAAGTTTGCTGTTTGAAATTCAGAAAGTACTTTTATACAGTGAGCTTGCTTCTTGATTATATAGCAATCAATGTAGCCTATAAGATCCCTGAATAATTACCCCACCAAACAATAGCATGAAGGGAACATTTACTCTGTGCCAGGCACTGTTGTAAGTGGTTTTTTTTTTCCGGTACCAGGAATTGAACTCATGACCTTGCGCTTGCCAGGCAGGCACTGTGCCACTGAGCTAAATCCCCAGCCCCTGTTGTGAGTGTTGATAGGTCTCATAAACTCATTGTATAGGGATGAACCAGAGGATCAGAGATGTACAGCAACACACTGAGGTCACACAGCTGCCATGCAGCAGAAGTCTGGCTTCAGATCCACATTCTCAGTCACTCAGCTGCGTGGCTTCTGACTGACACCAAATGTCATACACACTGTTTTTTGTTCAAGGGGCCACCATGCTTGTCCTGGTTCCCTGAGGGCTCCACAGTGTTTAGAGGGTGGAGTTGTGCCGGGACAGAACAGGGATGGTGGCCCCTTGATCAGAAAAGAGAGGTGAGGCAGTATCTTTTGAATGAAGAGGCAGCAAGGATTTTGGAGGCCAGGGCAATGGTGGAGACTCCAAGAGACTTTGAATTTTCATCTGTCAATAATAAATGCAAAACATCCAGCACAGATTAAAATTCCAGACTCCCCCAGACTTATACATCTATTGTTCTCAAAAAAATTGCAAACCATCTGTAACATGGAATATATTTTCCCCCATAAAATTAATGTTATCAGCCATGATTAGGTTTCCAGGTTAAGCCATAAAACCTACTTATCCGTAATGTAACTTCAATACTATATATTTGCAATATGAGAGTAGCAGAAAACAAGGTTGCAGCCATTTGCATTATATAGCAGTTTTTTCTTCTTCTTTACTTATTTGTGTTTCTGCTCAGCTGGTAGTCTGGGAATAGTGCCCAGCTGGATCGACTTTTAAATTTATTATTACAGTATTGTATTTATACAGCATTTCTATTTTTTTAATGGGCATGGTTTAAATTATTAATTGTTTTCATGCCAATCTAAAGGACAGGGACAGCCACCTCTGAAAAGGGGCTGAAGGTTCCAGACAGGTGAAATAAATGCCCATAGGCTGGGCTGGGGGGACCTGCGGCATCTGACTCTATTAGGCTGAAA